ATTCCGCCCCTCCCCCCTTGGCGTGGGGTTCGGGGCCCGCTGAAGGCCCCCGAAACTTTTTGGCTTTTTAGAGGGCGAACAGTGGTACGGTTTAGCCAGCCAAAATTCTAATTTCAGGAGGGGACCATGCGTGTGGCCTTTTTCAGAAATCGAAGGAGGGGTCAGGATCCCCCTAAACCACCCCTCTAAATCCACCACTGAGAGTGATGTACTGATGATATGTGTATAAATTAATCACTTTTCAAGCTGATAAAAATGTAAATAGGCAAAGAATTCATTACAAAAACAGTCTTCGGCAACATAATTATGTAATCGGGGATACTCCATCCACAATCTTAGAACATACGCCAGATAAGTTTATCATTGTTACGTGTCTTAGACTGGGTTCTCATAGATTTAGATCGATCTATCCGGATCGACCTAACTCCTTGGGGGGTTCATGCTAAATTGCTGTCAGGTTCCGAGAGCCGAGCGGGAACAAAAGTTAATTACCCCCCTTACAGATTTTAGTAGGCGGGACAGACATTTATGCCGGTCAGGCTGACAACATTCTAGTGAGACTCCCCACGGGGATAGATCTATCTAAAAATCTATGGGAATGCACTCTTAGGTTTAAACAAGTGATATTACCACCAACTGAAAGAATAACGGCAAAGAAGAAGAGGGGAATTTGTTGTTAAAATATTAAACCACAAGATAAATGAAGCAATAGCGTAGTATGCATAGCGTGAATTCTCAGTGTGAATATGGCACCAGCTCGATAATTAGGACACGTGACTATCTTATGAAAAAATATTAAATAAAAACCTTTACGAAAGATTCATGGTCAAATGTAAATTAGAAAATCAGTACTAATACCCTGAAATATTAGCAGTGATAAAGACTCTAAACTATTAGGGCTAGAATAGCGAGAACTGCATCTGTCGTTATATACAGGGTTACCACTTAATATGGAATATTATTTTTTGGCGAGTAATTTTCTACAAAATATTTAATTTCTCTCTAACTACTTTAAATCCAAAGCTGGGGTGTCACTCCATGTGTAGCCAGGTGTGTTACCTAATTACCACACAACTCTCGAAACAATTGATGCATGCAGTTGCATGTTCTGTGGTCAGAAATGTGAGGGGTGGTCTTTTCGGCAATTTCTTCCCTTGTATAAAAACGCATGGGTGTGGTCAATCTTTGGAGTGTGTTTAGAGAAGCAACAAAGGGATCGCTCTCAAACTTGACAGGTACATTAGAGAAGATATGGTTCGACAGCTAAGCAACGCAGCTTACTATGGGATTCTTGCTCTAAGAGAAAATGGCCAGAAACGGGCAGCCATTGCCAGGTAATTCAACATTTATCAGGAACCGTTTGTGAAGTCCTCCAAAGAATTGCTGCAACAGGGGCACCTACTCCAATACCTCGACCAGGGTGTCCGTGTATCACACCAAGAAGACAGGATCGCCTTCTCCTAAGAGGACGCCGTACTGGTCGTACAAAGACAACCAGTGTCCTCAGAAAAGAGAGGCAGAATGTCATTCAAACGCCCGTTTCAAGGTCCCTCGTGAACAAGATATTACTGCAAGCCGGTTATTTTGCACGAATGCCAGTAGGGAAACCACTGTTAACAGCAGGTCATATACAGCGACCTCTGCAATGGTCTGGGGACCACGTGCGTTTGCAGCCAAAACACTGGAATCACGTCGTTTTCAGTGATGAGGCCAGATATGGATTTTTTAGGGTTGATTGTCGAATCCGTGTCCACCGACGTGTACGAGGGGCATAAAACGATGATTGTGTACTGCCTAGGGTGCAAGCAGGGTATGGTAACGTCTCTGTTTGGGGAGCATTTCATGTCGGTGTCCAGAACCAGTTGGTTTTTCTAGGAGGCAACCTCACCCAGGATTCCTACAGAAACATTCTACAGCAAACAATGCTTCGATTGGTAAGAGTCATCTTCAGGAACAACTTTGTGTACCAAAACGACTGCGCAGATTTAATATTATTGACCAAAATATCTCACAACAGAAGACTGGATGTTATTATCACTCAGTGACATACTTTTTTAATGACTCAAGCCAAAAAAAATTTAATCAGCACTCAAAAATAACAATGATAAAAAATATTCCATATTAAGTAGCAACCCTGTATAGTAAGCTCAAATCTGGGGGGTGGGGGGGATGGGAGGGGGGGGAGGTAAGAACGTCACCGACAGAATTAAGATCAAAATCGCTGATTCGCTTAAAATTCCTACATGCATGGGGGACATGGACTTTGACCTCAGATACTCCGACAAATATACTGGCAATTGATAGAAAAGCACTCCGAGAGCGCAGACCTCCGCCAAGGCAGCGATTTTTGATTATTATTGATTATTGATTGACTATTGATCCGGATCACCACCAAAAACTAATCACTTCTAAGTTAACCCATTTCTGACCTACCCTGAAAATTTCATCAAAATCGGTCCATAACTTTCTGAGTTATGTTGATGACAAACAGACAAAAAGACAGACAGAAAGACAGGGGTGAGAACATAACCTCAATGGCGGAGGTAAAAACAGAAGTGAAAAATGAAGTTAAACATATATTCGTAAATTCTAATTTTTATAAAACCCTGGTGACACAAAGTGATATATCTAGTTTTTTGTCAGAACAGATACACTTAGTAATTATTTCATAAGTGATTAAGTTGCCAGCCTGGTGTTTATAAAGCCCCACTATGGCAAACAATTCTTCAGCTCGCTTACTTTAAATAAAATATAAATTGTTATCACGGTCCTGTATATTGAAAATCAGTGACCAACGCACCAATAGGAAGAAGCTTGGTGTGTGAAATATGACGGCAGATCCAACAAGGTTCTATACTTAAGGATTTTAATTTCTAAAGAAGTAAAGGGAGCAAGAAAGATATAATGCTCTATACTAGTGGTTGACTATGACGTACGCGGTAGTAAGCTGAATGAACTTAATCGTATTTTTATAGAATACATGCTGATTGGCACCAGTGCTTACCAGATCCGCGACCGAATGTTTGTATCAAAGTAAAGACAAAACAAGTCATCAATGTACACAAATATTCATATCGTTCGTTATATTTGTTTGTGCCAAATTTTAGAAAGTTATTCCAAGAGGAAGATTAGTTACAACAGTACTGAGTTTATAGTATATGGTCTGTGTAGTCTTAGAGTCAGTCACAACATGATTGACGATGTCCACAAATGTATTACTTCAGATTGTGCTTGCAAAGACAGCGAAAAATGGTAAAGGACACCGATGTGCTTTTTAATGAATTCCGTCACTTATAAGATACCAGACTTCAGTTTTAAGAGTGCTGTCTTTAACCAGAAAACCTATGGGATTAGTAATAGTAACGCGATAGGCTTTTTTATATATGAAAGATGAGTATTTTAATTTAGACTTTCAAAAATTTAAAATATTTATGAAGTGTTTATTAAACGAAGCTATATAGTGATGTTGCAGGCTTCATTATGGAGGAAGGTCACCGACATATTAACAGTGTGACGTTGTTTTAGGTTGTTCTTCCACTGAAAGGCTAGTGCTGTTTCTTGGAAATATCACATGATAATATTTATGTATTTATGCGGCAGCTGGATGAAATAATTACATTTTTTTACCAAAAGGACAAAGTGCATCTGCGCGCACATAGCCATCTATCAATTTTGAGAGTAAAATTAACTTTATTTTTTTGTTTTTTTATTCTTGTATGTACTCAATGCGAACAGTCGTTTGAAGTTTCGTATATTTTTTTACTTTTGATATATCGCTAACTTCAGAAATTAGTGGCAAACTGTACATTTCGTTGCTGAGTTGATTTTTTCTCCTACGACTAGCCTATAACAATAATATAATAAATACAATATACAATTAATTAATTCAATTTCTAGGCGAGATGGAAAACTATAAATTTAATGTCGGCCTAGTTAATGCATAGAGAGCTCAAAACAATGCATGAATTGCAATATTAAAATCAAATATTAGGCCTACTCTAATCATGTTTATAGCTGTCCAGGCGTCTGAGAAAATCAGGAAATCGAAAATTATGTTTTTACCCCAAAAGTCCCAATATGATGTCACACGGTAACTTGGAGCTGCGTTTCAAGCTTATAATTAAATGTTTTGTAGATACATTAAGTGAATGCAACAGGATTTAAAAAAAGCTAACACCTTTCGTTTAAGATAAAAAATCTTACCTGCAGTCCTCCCTTAGACCTAACAAGAAATTACCAAGGGTTACTAAGTCGATTTCTTATAATGTTTCACATTCGAAAAAATGTTAAAAAGCATTCATTTATTTTAGTGACCTGCAGGGGCGGTTCAGAACTATGATTCAGCTAATTTCAGCCTGGGAATTTTAATGTAGGCCTAAATGCAATTTAGTGAGAAACTCCTCGGAGATAGATCGATCCTGCTAGTACGTTAGGGTATGGGAATGGTTTCTATCAGTGTTAAACGAAAGCAATAGTAGATGAGGGTCGGCCAACTTTTACATAGAAGGCACAGGGGCGGATCCAGAGATATTTTCTGACAGTCTTCCAAATTTTCTTTGTTGATCCATCTTCCATTTTTGACCGTCTTCCGACAGAAAACATTAGATGGCTGACAACGTAAACTTGAAAATCTGACAGTCTTCCAGAAGACCCAGAAGACGGCCTTAATCCGCCCCTGAGGCAATGCGATCCGCCAAGTTGCCCGCATTGTTTTACCCCAGATGCCGGTTGCTAAGGTAAAGCGCCCGGATGACCGACTAGCCCTTGTATTGTTACCCGTGAAAGTCACTTTTTATTGAACGACTTGCGAAACTTCATATTAGCGTGATCCGCGATACCCACATTCTAAACACGTACTTTTCCTCCATATACAATGATTTATGAATAAAACTTTTATTTACTGTGATTTGTGGATTGATAATTTTATTTTCTGTACATTGTGATCAGACCTGCCCCCCCCCCCCCCCCCGTAGATTACAGTTCGAAAGTAGCTCCGCAGTAAATGTACTTTGTTTACATATCGCAGGGAATGGTTTAGCATATTAAACCTCCCGTTTAGGTGAATCCTCGCTAATTTTGCGAGATAAATGTAGAGTAAAGAATATTTAAACTACTAAAGGAGACCATCAACTTTATATATTTCATCAGAAAGAGGCGAACAGTGGAAAAAAGGGAAAAAACGAAGACAAACTGGGAGTCCAGAGGAGCAACATGCCAGTGGCCGAGGTTTACTTCGTTCAACATCTGCCCGTTTACGATTTGCCGTATACTGAACATGGTACGTGGTGAAATATCAAACATGTCCTTTTTGTGTTTTTTTTTAATATTCATTAAAGAGAAACATAGGTGATGGGTATAGTCAAATAGACCAGTTTATGTTGCCCCTGCAGTCAGTCGATTGTTGATTACATAATGCTATATGGCATATTGAACAGAGAATGCATGGCTTATGTGCAACTAACTCGACATGCATTGATTAATGGTAATTGTGTGAATTCAGGGACAAGTGTGGATTTTGAACATTCCTAACCTGGGGTAATGTGATTAGGGAGTGCGACTTGGCTCCTGCACATGCTGTTATTGTTGCATATGAAGCCAGTTTAGATTCCTGTAACACATTAAATTAACTTTTGCTAGAGTTATTTACATGACAGCGATATGACTCAAATAGCATGGTCATGGCAATGGATAAATCAAAGGAATTGCGCGACCAGAAAAAAAAAACAAAGTTGACCTATTTATCCATCCCTCCAGTTAGTATAATTTTGCCCAATGAGGTAGTGATCTTTGTTGCATTACTGCAGCAGGCACAATATGGATCAAAACACAGTAACGGGTCAAAAATGTCCCGTCAGAGACTGACATTTAAGTGATTGTCATTCCCACATTTATTTCAGTGCAAATTAGCTGCTTGTTTTAAATAATCCTTTATGGTCCAGCTAAGTAAAAATGTCTTTAAAAGTAGCCATGTGGATCGTTTACCAATCTTGTAATCTTGAAAATTGTCTCTAAAATGTCCCGGAAGAGACATTTCAAATGCCCATATTCAAATGAGTGTCAGAAACAAGCAAAGGCTGTATGTAGCACATAAAGAAACAAAATATTTTTGTTCAAATATATATATATTTTTTGGGAAGTATGGTATTTCTTTAAGTTATGCTATGGATTAAGTCAAACATGCACAAAACTTTATTACTTTTCACAGGTTTAAGTAGCAAACGTCATCAGATAGCAATCTGCCATATGAGACAAGTTATCAATGCTGTCATCTTGACCTGTCAACCGGGGAACTCTTTGCCCACTTACTTAAGCACAAGATGCCTTTTAAAAATCACTTATTTTCTAATTTGATAGCTAAAATATATTCTGTGACCATGTTCAGATTCAAACATCATTCCAGTGGGATCAAGCCGGGGTTTCTCGCTTAATTGCAATCAGTGTAATCAGCTAAATTGACTTGTCACCTTAATGGCTAGAGGGTAATAAAGTTTTGTGTGTGTTTGACTTAATCCATAGCAGCTGGAGGAAGAGTGATCAATATAACATATTGGCCTGGAGGTGAGCCTTAGGAGGATGTGTTTTGACATAACACCTTAGCAGTGACTGTGGCTGTAGTAGAAAGCTGGAGGCTTACCAGCATATTCCACATATAATTTATATATATATATATCTAACCCTTATCAATAAAACATTGATCCAACCTACTCTGAAAATACACTTTTTCTCATCTTGTGTGTCATTCTGCACTGCATTTAGCTTCAGTTATGGTTGTTTCAGAAGTTCTCCACTGATAAAGTTCTACATTGCCTAAACCAGTGAGTCTTCATTAGGGTTATAATTAGGTTATTGTAAGCAATGTCTGTTCAGATGTGGTATGTTTTAAGGTAGAGATGATCTTTCTGAGATTTTGATTAAACATCTATAGTCTTTTTTTCAGAACTGTGGAGATTGTTATAACTGGGGTTTGGGTGGTGATATCACTTAGAAAGAAAAGGAGGGTATGGCATTGAAGATGTCACTGCGGCGCTTGCGCATCATTGTCTGTGCAATGATCCAGTCACGTCGTGCAAGACGTCATCTAAGATTCATGCGGAGGACTTGTTGTAGTGGGACTATGGCAATTATCATATTGACCATGTTATTGCTGTTGGCCGCCATATATACAGGTATGTGAGAGTAATGGCACAGATCCTGAATATGCACATGAGGTTACTAGTAAGTAGGATACTGAGAAGCTGGAGGTTATACAAGTTCATTGGAAACAAGAGGAGACTTGTTTGTCTGTTAATTTGATTGCATTTAGCGAGAGTCCCCTTGAAGTTAGTACACAGTAGCTGTTGAGACCTAACTCATTGTGAGTGGACCTGAGTACTTAATGTTGTCTTTATAGTTTGTATGTCTCACAATTGAAGTAGATTATTACNGTCTGTACATTTGACAACTTTGCTGCCTTGTTTATCAATATAGATTAATATATTTTATACAAGTTTGGCCATGGCTTACTCATACAGAATGTTGCCAGTGAAAAATGAACCATTGTGTTTAGTTGATAACTTAAAGTATTGGAATGTGTTGTCACTATGACATTAGTGTGCATTGATGGTTTATCAGAAAAACCAAAAGTATGAAAAGATAGATCATACCTGTTGTTAAAATAAAAACTGTTAATTTTTTCCAAGATTTTTGAAACTATGTCACCATTTATCTTGCCTAGATGTTATTGAAACTTTAAGTTTGTATATTTTTATATGCAGACACAAATGTGTCTGCACATATAGCTGTCACCTGCATTGGTCATTGCCGTCCCTGTCTTAATCGTCCCCGTGCACTTTCAGTGTTATAATAGTAAGTGGAAAACCATTTGACCTTTTTTCTTCTAACTTACATCTGCTGTTTTTTTCATTTTTCAGCATGTTTAAAAGTAAAATAAAATGAGTCATCATCAAGGCTGAGGTAATTACCTGAACAGGTAATTCAGTTGAGAGGCACAGAGAATGTGCCTCGGATGAGGTGAAATGTTAATTTTGCCAGCAAACGAACTACACTAGTATGCCATTCAAAGTATATTCTAAATATTCTTACTGCCTTCTGACAGCATTATAGATATTCCTAGTTTTCCAACTACATTCGAACTGCATTTGAGAGCTAAAACAGCCAAAAGTGCACTCATCATTCCAGGCGAATTCAAGCGCATTCTGAGTATTCCAACGGTACTCTTACAATAATAAAGGTCAATTTAAAAATGTGGTGCGAATTTTTAAAATTCTTCATTCAGCCTCATTCTTTTTGATTCCTGTTGATTCCAAATAAGTGTGACAGGGGGATTATTTCAAGGTCAAACAGGCTAAAATTTTCTAAAAATTTTCTAAAAATATTTGTTTGTGCCAAATTTTAGAAAGTTCACAGACCTAAGCTTTCATATTATAGTGAAGGATTATGATTAGGGACTCCTTTCATTTTCGGAAGTTTGGGATCAATTGGTGCATTTTCATATTTTTTAAAAACATTTCCCTGTATGTTTGAATTTCAAGAACATAAAACTTTTCTTAATACTAGCCATTAATAACAACCAAACTGTTTCCCAGCAAGAGACAACTGTTAACATTGTTATTTTTATTGTACTCCAGTAAAAATGTGTTATCTTATGACACCATTTACATAAAGTATTTTGACAAAGGTATCCACATTTGAAAAGGTGACACATGACAACTAAGGCCATCCTGAGCTCAAAAAGGCTCCCAACTGTCAAAAAGATGAAACATTGCTACTAAGGCCACCCAGGGCCTTGAAAATGCTCCTGCTTGTAAACAAGGTGACATATTGCAACTAAGGCCATCCAACACTCAACAAGCTCTCTTCCTTTACTAAGAAGGATAACCTACAACAATCATGGTCATTCAAGAACAAAAGGCTTCTCAGCTCTTCCAAAGACGTATCGACCTCCATACACCTGTAATTATAAATTATATATGATATAATCAACAATATATCATAAGGAAAAATCCTAATAATACAAATTCAAATCCAAAGTGTGTAACAGAATGTATATCACCTGAATGACACGAGAACTCTTCTATGCCAATCACACCCTCTACTGGCATGCCATAACCAGAGAGGAAATAATTTCACTCAAATTCCTCTTGTCAACTGATAGAAATTACAATTACCACACGTAGGACTTTGAACTCGTATGGGCTTGAAGCTCTGTGCTAAGTACTTATTTGGAAGTGGTGGTGATAAAGCTACTAAACATTATATAATGATGCTTTTAAATTGACAAACAATATTTTAATTTGCGCAATGTTTCCTGTTTTGTGCCTGCACATTTGACAGCTCTGCTGCCTTGTTTTTCATATCAGTCACTCTGCATATGTTGCATCTTCACTGTCTAGGTATCTAGGTATCTAGCCCACTGCAATTGATTGTTTATAGTACAGATTTACTAAATAAGTAAATTGTTTGTCAAATCTGAAACCTTTATATTAATGATTGATAATCCAGTACGCTGGTGACAGTTATTCATTTATATTTTCAGCACGTTTGCCTACCAAAGAACAACTGCATCTGAATTATATTGCAGAGAGCCTTGATGTGAAATACTATCTGATACAAAATTCAAAAAAGGAGTATATGGCATTAACAAACACTGGAGATCAACCCATGAATTTGACAAATGTGGAACTCTATTTTTATCACATGTTGAGAAAAATTCATCTTGATTCCAAGTTTGATGGTATAGCCATGGAGCTACATCATGTAGATGGGTCCCTGTTTCGTCTTCGCTTTTCAAAAAATACAACAACACAGGTGCTGCAATCACAGGAAAAATTGGTGGTTTCTTTGAAATCTTCAATTTCCACTTGGGCACGTTCTGATGTATCACCTAACTGGTAAGTTGTATGTCTCAATATTCTGAGGGCTCATTGATCTGAGGGGTCATTTGTTTAAATTTGTTTTAGTGTCAAGGTTCATATAAAAGTATAAAGGTTCTTATATCGTAGTTTTTTGCTACAAAGGTTCATTGGTCACAAGACTTCCTTTCTTTTATACAGGATAGCCCAAAAAGATGTCTCCATTTTTTATAGCAATTTCTGTTGAATGGAAAACTTAACAATTTGTCTCCATAGATCTGTCTCACAGACATAATTATGTGCGGTGTAAGTTTTTTACCTCATACCAATCTATTAGTGAGCACAGCTCAAAAGTTTACAATGTGCTCAGTTCAGACTCCATGGTGCTGAATCACTGTGGCTACTCCTACACTGAATTTTATGATGACATAATTCAATGACATTTGAAATCTGCTGATTGCTATCAAATGTTATTCTTGCAGCCATGGCCAAAACTCCAAGGCTTTGATGGTCTTTCAAATTAGCTGGACAAAAAATCTACTTGTTCTACCAAACTTTTGCTGATCTTTTTGAAATTTTTATTTTACCATTTTTTCAAGACTGCTAGGTGATAAGGCTATTTTTGGTGGTGGGGTAGGGTTTTGGAGGGGGATACTCCTCTTGAATGAGGCTTTGGGGGTTCATCTCCACAAAATCTTTGAAAATGTGAAATTAAAAGGTTATTTCAATTGGTTTGTCACGAAGAAGATTACATTAGTTTTATTTTAAACGATTTAAATTTTTNTGTATTTTTGCATCAGAATTGACAGTAGCTTATTTTGTGCATAGTTATTTCCTGTTTTTTGTCTGTACATTTGACAGCTTTGCTGCCTTGTCTTTGTTGACCAACAAGTAATATAAATCAGTCTGTGAAATGAGCTTTTTAGAGTGGTTGTCCCATCAGACAACCATTTTTAAAGGTTGCCCCATCCCCTTTTGGTTGCCCAAATGAAGCGTAGGAAAATAACACAAAACTTCCAAGATTCCTTTTATTTCAGGGGGTTAAAGGCTGACATGCACTGTGTAGCTTTAAATAGATTAATTTATGCAAATAAACATGATGATGATGAGCAGTTTTATATTACAGAACCTCAACAGCAACAATGCAGCATTTAGTAACATGTCTTCCCACAAACAATTATTTTAAGAACAACTATACATCATCATACTTTTGTACAAACACTAGAATATTTTCTAGCAAAAAAAGGCACTTCAGGTCAAGATTTGAAGACAAGCCAGAATGAATAATAATTTTCAATATATTGACTGCTAGCTAAGTGTAATAGGATTCTCCATTTCTCTGCCTCTTAGTCTATTAACTTACTTTCAAATGTGGACATATTAATTTATTACATATATACAATTATCATAATAAACAATAATTAAACTGCTGCATTTTCTGCCATCTCCATCTCATCTACTTCATCAAATTCATCTTCACCATTGTAATCATGATACAGGAAGTACAACACGTTGGACAGCACGGACAGACAGAATGATCAGAATATAGTGTCTATATATAAAAAGGAATGTCACTATTTTAAACATGAAATGTCTGGTTCAGACTAGTCCTTGAAGGACAAAAAAAAAAAAAAAAAAAAAAAAAAAAACACCGTGTTTTCTTCCATCTCCATCTCATCTACTTCATCAAATTCATCTTCATCATTCTCCTTTGAAGTAACCAAAGAATCTGTAACTACCTCCTGCTAGAAAAGACAAATGAATAATTCAATATAAAATATCATACAGTACCATAAAAATGAAAAAAAAAAAAAAAAAAATTGGAAGACTCCTAAATTGCATGGTTGTGAAGTTCAGACATTGAAGCATATTGATTTTCACATAGATACACTGATTGAAAGGAATACAGGACTCGACCATAGCAATGCCCTACGAATTCTCAATTTTATGTGAGACAGGGCTGTACCTCAAATTCCAGAAAGGAAGCAGTTTCATCTGATGACTGAGCTGCAGTTCCCTCTAACTCTTCATCCAACAATACTTCCCTCTGAGTCTGTGACAGGACTTGGCCTGGGACTTTCTGGCACTGGATCCAATTCTTCTCTTTCCAGAAAAAGTGCTTGTCTGAAAACAATTCAATTGTCATCACAATTTCACTTTTATCTTTTATTAAAATGAAGTAAAAATACTTCAAAGCAGAGAACAAGAACAAGTAAAAATATATAAAAAAAAATTGAAACTTACGTGTTTCTCATTAAAACTCCTAGACCTTCAGATTCTGACTTCTGCAGCCAATGCAAGCAGTCCGCCACGCCACTTTGGAACCGCCAGCACTGGTGCTGTCGCTTTGAAATGCCCCTCTGAGGAATCGTGCTCCTTAATGCCATCTAATCGTAGTGAGGTTTTGCCTTGAACGAAAGGTGAAGAATCTGGCAAAGTGGCAAACATGACACCCTTCCTCCTACTCCCCAGGCATTACGTCATCTTCCTGTCTCTATCTGCTTCATAAAACGACCAGCTACTAGCAGTGCTATAAATAACTATAGCTCTAATAATAGCAAACACTTTGATCAGCAGGTCGGTTACTGCGATAGTAAATCTTGAGGAAAACAGAACGATTTAGGTTAAGCTAAAATTTTTGTTTTCTGTGTAGATTTTGAGATAGGTTTACTCTTTATGTCAATAATTTATTCAGTTGCCCGATCAGACAACAACTTCGTAATTTTAAGTTCACTGACATGCCTTTTTAGTTGTCCTGGGCAATCCGACAACTGTTTATTTCGAAGACTGATAAATTCAGTACTACATACGATTAATGAAGATTTATGGTCAGTGCTTTCCACATTCTGGGGGATTTATTTGTATAAAAGTTATGTCTAAAAACTCATTTTCAGCAATAGCAATATTTACTGTAAATCATTCATTCATACAGGTTTTTTTTTTCCTGTGGTTATTATTAACAAGTAAAAAATTGTTTTTTTTTATTCAATTTTGATGCAGCATAAATAGCACAGATTATTTATCGTAGTCTGAATTGGAGTGCTGATGCACTTCACTGTATCAGACTCTTTGGCATGAAAATGGCTTCCTTGTCAGGGTACAGGGGTATCATAAGAAAAGAAAACATAATGATAATATCAAAACTGTAACTGGTATTGGCAACTTTCATTGATCTATTCAACATGTTTATGCAATGTTTGGATGTTTAAGAAAACGTTATGTTCATACACCATGGTTAATGGGGTTGCCCATGATTGAACTGTGGAACAACTCTATCTGAATTACATCAGGCAGTTATTTGCATTAGGCCCAACTGCATGTCAAAACAGTAAGTTAGCTTTTAAAATATTAAAATATGAACAAAAGTGCCTGTAGGACAATATATTACCACATATTATACAAAATATTGAGTAATATAAAAATGTGAAACCAATTTTACTGTGATAATCCAGTACCATGATACTGAACTAATTTGAACCATCCTTTTTATTACAAACTAATAGTGGAAAGCCTTAAGGCTGTATGAAAGTCTTTCAAAATTACAAATTTAAAGTCAGTTTAAAGTTGGATTGATCAGGAGAATGTTTATCAGCCATTCCACGAAAAGGGGTACAATTCCAAAACAAGAAATGCAGCGATATGAACTTTGGAAAACTGGAAAACTTTTTATATTATTTTGATGAAGAGGTATTCAGAGAGTACTAGAAGAATTTTAACCCACACCATTACTGTATTTAAAGAAATATGCACGTGTAAACATGGTACAGTATTTTTTTCGTTACGGAGGTTAGGTAACATCTAAATTAGGTTATATTTCAATCATGCCAAAGGTCACAGGCTCCATATTTGATTCAATTATTAAGATTTTGTATGTATTCAAAATATTATTGCCCATTTAAGATTTCTCAATAATTATAGAAAATGCTGTGCAAACACATTGGTAATAAGTGGCTCGTTTTCTATAAATACAAAGGCTGAGATATTCCAATTTAAATATTTTATTAATCGTTGGGGACAGACTTGCTTTTTTATCATACTATTTTTCTATGAACAAAGTGCTATCAATCCATTATGAAATGAGCATTGATCAATGAACACACACACATCCAGTGTTCAAATGAAAAATGAGTAATTTCGTAACGGAGGTTAGGTCATTCTACATAGGTCAGAGATCATATATTTGTTTTGATATTTTTAGCTTAAGGTAGACTTTGGAAGATGAATTTGGAGTTTATAGTATTACAGATACGACAAATTTACATAATAACATAGAAAAATTGATAAAAACATGTTTATTCAAACCATTAAATGGCAAATGGTTACAACGGGTTGTTTTGCTTACTTTCAAGGCCTACATAAATATATTTACCACTACTGGATACATTTCACCGCTAATATGTTGATATATGTACCTGTAGAATTCACATTTCATATTTTACCAGAGTAAGAGTTTAATTTATAATCTTAGTAACAGAGTTAAGGTAAAACTCTAGTCTAAATTATGTCATACATTTAAACCGTTCAAAATCTTTCACAAGAAAAGCTTCGCGGTCATTAGATTTTTTTCTCTGTAGTGTTTTTGTCGCTCTGTATTTGTAAGTGGCATATTGGTGTCTGTATAACAAAACATTAAACCTACATGCACATGATCGCAGTTATAGGCAATAAAAAACAACAAAATACCAGAGAAAGTCAATGCATACAATCAAGTAGGCCGACAACAGACACGTGTTTGCCAATAACTGTCCATTTAAAGTTACTGGAAGCATCTAGAAGATGATAAAAACTATTATGTGCTACTGAAATAGTAAAATAGGACCTAATAATCCCGCAGTTCTACCTGATAAATGTAACTTATGTCTCCCGCGAAAATAATGTCTGCTACATGCACGTTAGTACTGATGTCAGCTAGTACCTTTTTTGCCAAGACAGTCCTGAAAACTACTCATTTCGCTTAAAATCAGAACGATAAGTCCAAAAAAGGCATCGTCAAGTGACAAATAGAAATCAATTAGATAAAACAAATCGCGATTTACCCTCGATTTCATAGCAAACTGGAGTAAAAACTTAAATCATTAGCCTTTCTTGGTACAATTATCAGCTATGTATGTATATTTTATATCTATATTAATGCGGGGTAATGTCTTTAACAGCCAGCAGTATGAATACATACTACATCAGAACATAGAGGTAGAACTACTTATATGATCAGAATTAACTCACAAAACCACAGAAATAACGTTTTAAAGTATTAACAGTCAATTTTATAACAATTAACTTATTTCGTAACGGAGGTTAGCATAACGGACGTAAGGTGACACGCATTATTTTTCAGTTTTTATCCTCGGGATAACTTTGCAAAACTATTGAATGAATTTTTTAGGAAGAAGTTGGTNCAACTTTCATTGATCTATTCAACATGTTTATGCAATGTTTGGATGTTTAAGAAAACGTTATGTTCATACACCATGGTTAATGGGGTTGCCCATGATTGAACTGTGGAACAACTCTATCTGAATTACATCAGGCAGTTATTTGCATTAGGCCCAACTGCATGTCAAAACAGTAAGTTAGCTTTTAAAATATTAAAATATGAACAAAAGTGCCTGTAGGACAATATATTACCACATATTATACAAAATATTGAGTAATATAAAAATGTGAAACCAATTTTACTGTGATAATCCAGTACCATGATACTGAACTAATTTGAACCATCCTTTTTATTACAAACTAATAGTGGAAAGCCTTAAGGCTGTATGAAAGTCTTTCAAAATTACAAATTTAAAGTCAGTTTAAAGTTGGATTGATCAGGAGAATGTATATGCTTTTAAAAAGCTTATTGCTGCAAATAACGTTGCTCAAGTGTCTGCTGGTTCTGTCCTGACATGTTTCCTCCTACACCCTTCAAAATTCAGGTCTAGAAATATTGAGTCATAATTGTACCACCAGCTTACGGAGGTGCTGGCAGTACCCATGGTTTTAGTCGCAACCCGTGTGTTCCGCCGGCTCCTGCGGCTCTGCCGGCCCCGCCACCATGTCACTGTTACCGCTTCTGCTCCTAGACTACAAGGGCCTGCATACCCATCTCTTGGATTTAGGTCACATATAATCTCAACTCGATTCATGGAAAATTTGGGCTTTGTCAGTGCTGGGGTCTAGGTGTGGCGCTTGTTGCAATGCACCTTTGTCCAAAATTTGCAAAATTAAATGCAAATTATCTACCATATCGAAGGAATTATGGGAAAAATTTCTATAGATGGCAGACCAAAAGTCATATGTGGAGATTTCAAATATGCCCTTGGATTTGACCTTTGACCTTTATTTCAAGGTGAAACGGGCCAAAATTTTCAAAAAAGGGAATTTTTTACAAAAAAAAAAAAAAAAAATTGTGCTGATATTCAGAAACTACACAGACCTTACCTATAATATTATTGGCAGGTGTTACCCTTCAGGTCACCTTTCATCTCTGTGAGTTTGGGTGCATTTTCACGGGAGTAGCGGCCACCTACTTTTGAACTGAACTTTGTATCTCTTATATCTCCCAAACTGACAGAGATATGGCCAAATTTACTATTTAAGTTGAATAGGAAGATATGTACTGGCAATCTAACTGTAACCTTAAAATTAACCTTAGACCTACTTTTCACCATGAGCTGAACTTTACAACCTTTCCATCTGTTATGTCTCAAAAACTAGCAGAGATATGCCCATAGTTACTATTGAACTAATACAGGAAGTCATGCTGGCAATCTAACTGTGATCTTAAAAATGACCTTTGACCTTCTTTTTGCCATGAATTGCACTTTACAAATTGGGATTTAAACTTTTACTCTTCCCCATGATTTTGTTTTAAATTGTAATTTTCAAGAAAAATAATTCGAACTCAAGCCTGCATTTTGTAGATCTTGTCAAGCACAAAACTAGAGGTGGTGTCCTTGTTTTTGCTTTTACATACGAATGCGCTTACTCCAGCTGGTGGTACAATACCCAGAGGTGGTATCGCCTCTCTGATCCTCTAGTTTTGTATGATAAAAATGGTTGCTGTTTCTTCAGGTACATCACGTCGCCAGGGTGTACACCTGTGCTTCTTCACTGCACTGTGGGGGAGGATCTGAACTTTGCCAAATACTTTTGGGAAGACAGCAGTGGCATTTCAGATGCTACCAGATTGAGCATGCACTACAGTAAAGCAGTGGAAAGATACAATAATAACAAAAATTTGAAACGATTTGAGATTCCACCACTGTATGTTATTCCAACCCCTGTGGAGATAGTGGCTGATCACACCAAGCCACTGAACATACGGACCAATGACTGGGTGGTGGTGGCAGATGCTGGTCTAGAAGAGGGCCTTCCTAGAAGTGAGTATGAGAGAGAGAGAGGGTTGGGGGGTATCCAATATAATCTAAATCAGTTTGATATTTTCATTGGGAGATTTATAACTATTGTAAAAATGGTCAGATCAAGCTGATTTTTGTACTAAACCTGTATTTTAGTAATATTGAGCACTCCTGTAAGGTTTCAAGACAATAGGTACATCGGTTTTCCTTGAAATGTGTTATCAGTGTTGCGTATGTGCTGAAAAAAGGGAAAAACAGCATACCGTAACTTAAAAAAAAAAGCCTGATCATGTCTTTTTTTTGGAACTTGACCAGCATTTAATGACCATCAATTCTGTAAAACTGGGTTCCCATACTTAAATCGATCCATCTGGATCGACCAAACTCCCTGGGGGTTCATGCTAAATTGCTATCAGCTCAAGAGTTTCGACCCAAAGGGTAAAATGATTTTCCATATATCATGTTATTGGTGTTGCATATGTGATGAAAAAAGTGAAAAAAAAAACAGCATAACTTTTGAAAAAAGGACGGATCATGCTGATTTTTGAACTCAACTTGTGTATTATGAGCTTTTATCAGTTCTGTAAGTTTAAAACCAAAAGGTAAAACTGCTTTCCACTTATTGTGTTATCGATGAAAGCGCATGGAGTCAACGACAACGACAGATGCAGGTGGGGGGGTAATATGTAGAGACACATCTGTGTCTGTACATAAAAAAAAATATTGCATAAAAATTTGAAACAGCATTGAATGAAAAAAAAAGAATATTACATAAAAATATGAAACAATATTGAATGAAAAAAAAAGAACATTGCATGAAAAGTTGATACAACATTGAATAAAAAAATTATTGCATAAAAAATTAAACAACATTGAAATAAAATAAAAAACCATTGCATGAAAAAATGAAACAAAATTGAATGAAAAAAATTATTGCATAAAAAATGAAACAACATTGAATGAAAAAAAAAGTATTGCAGTAAAAAATGAAACAACATTGAATGAAAAAAAAAAGAATATTGCATAAAATTTTGAAACATTGGATAACAAACTTTAAAGTGAATGAAATATATATTTATTGAATATTGTAACACAAATCATGCCATATGCCAGCATTACAGTGACTGTAGGCTTTGGAGTAAACTTGAATGGATAGCCAAAGAAGAAAATGACTGAGACTTGTGAAAATTGTCAGAAATGAGGAATAAAGAAAATTACTCCTTTAACAGCAATAACTGCTCTGTTTAGTATTATACAACCTTTATTTATTCTTCTCCAGGAATGCTCCTTCCTCTGTCACAAGATGATCCAGGCAAGAAAGTCATACGCATCAGACAGGGCCCAGTTGATGTCATTATACAGGGGAAGGCAATACACAGCAAAGAAGCATACAGAATTGATGTCAGTGCACAAGATGAGCGAATTGAGGTCACATCTCCATCAACTGCTGGGGTTTTTTATGCTATGCAGACCATATATTCAACTATGGATGAACAAGGGAATATTCCACAGTTAAAAGTCCAAGATGCACCAAGGTTTTCTTATCGAGGAACACACATTGATGTATCACGGAATTTTTTCCAAAAGGATGTCATTCTAAGGACGCTGCAGGCTATGTCTAAGTATAAGATGAATAAGTTACACTTCCATTTGTCAGATGATGAGGGTTGGAGACTGGAGATTCCAGGTCTTCCAGAATTAACTGAGGTTTGTAGAAGTTTTCTTTTTATTTTGCACAGGCATATAGTGTCTGTACATAAAGTCATAATCTGCTTCTGTGGTCACCATGCACTTTCAGAGGTAACATGATAAGTGGAAAACTGTTTGACCTTTTGTCTTCAAACTTACAGAACTGATGAATATTAGTAAAATACAGCTTGAGATCCAATATCAGCTTGACTGGTCCATTGTTTAAAAAATGATGTATTTTTTTAGCATATATTTTACTGTATGCAATACAGAAAACACATTTAAAGGAAAACCAATAAGCCCATTGTCCTAAAACCTACAGGAGTGATCACATTACTAACATACAGGTATAAGTGAAAAAACTCTCAGTGGATTATTTTTTATGCACAGATACATCATGCCTGTACACATGGCCATCACCTGTTGTTGCCGTTCTCTTTCAGAGATAACACAATGAGCAGAAAACCGTTTGACCTTTTGTTTTCAGAACTGAGGAATATTATTAAAACACAGGTTGAGTTAAATAAACAGCTTCATTGGGCCATATTTCCAAAATTTATGTTGTTTTTAGCTTTTTTTCAGCATATGTGCAATGCAGGTAACACATTAAGTGGAAAAAACGAGTGATGCACTTTCTGTAATGCCCCAAAAGAGACTTTATTGCATATTTTCTGGGATTTCATTTGAACTTGTTTCATTCAGAACCTACGCACACAGTGCCCTGTTGAATTAGAACAAAACTCTTGCCTGTTTCTATTTGGATTATTGGATAACAGCTCTTGCATACTCTACTCCTTCATATAAAGAAATATCTCACTCTATGCAGGCAGAATAAAATTAAACCACTCTGGGATCCCTGCAAAAAGTATTTGGAGAAGCAAAAAAATAGATTTTCAGTCTTTATACCTCCTGGGTCCTTAAAAGGCAGTTGATCTAAGGAAGAAATGGGAAAGCACAGAAAAAAATATTCATATGAATAGAAAAGATCATGTGTCATAGCCTACTGAGATTCTCTTACTCTTACTAATTTTTACTTGTATTTTAAGTCATCATCTGTAAGAGTTTTTTTCATTTTTTTCATTGTGGAAGGTGTCTTTGTCTCTCATTGTTGTAAATGCCCTGTGTTAATTTTTGTTTAAAAAAAACTTGGCTTTGCTTATTCAAAGTAAGATGATATTTAATCAAAAAAGCAGACTGAGTCAGCCCATGGTAGGACCACATCTCTAATGATTAGGACCATGTTAGATAATTTGTGATCTGAAGTTGAAGATTAAGACCTTTTCAGATGGAAGGAATGGTGGTAACAATGGTTGGGGGGGGGGGGGGCTGGATGCTAGAATTCTCTTGATCTAGTTTTATTTATTAAAAACTTAGTTTTATTTAATTGAAACTTTTTTCTTCTAGTTGCAGTGTTTCATTTATAAATTTTTTGGTATTCTAAGAAAAGAAACAGAAAGTACAAGACACATTAATCTCAAGTTAACTAGTAACTTTCTCTCACATTCTCTCATTCTTGTTCACTCAGTTGAGTTTAAAATTCCTAATAGAAAATGATTTTACTATACTTATACACACACATACACACACACACACACACACACATCCTACATAATTTTACCTATAATTTCCAATTAAAGGGATAACAGCTGTTCATTTTTGCAAAAAAATAGATTTCCCTGGAGTAAAGGACAATTTCCCCATACTTACCAATGGTAAATGAATCCATTCCAACATTTAAAGTTAGTCCCTGTTTTTTTTTTCTAAAAAGTTTCATTTTTGTAATATTCTCTTAAGAGATTATTACAGAGTATAGCCATCTATGGAAGTCACGTGATGTGATAGCAAGCAAAAATTCCAGAATAATTGTGTGAACTGCTGTATTGACGGTAAAATAGAATCTATTTTATTTCTATGAGTTGTTTACAATGCATTTATTGTAAAATGTGGATATCATACGGACAGTTGTTATCCCTTTAATTTAAATTCATTAAATGCTAAGCATGTTCCAATGCAAATGTATACAAGGTCTGTGATATCCTAGAGATTACTGTCAGCCATTGATAGTTGACTGTTTTCGATATGGTTTGTAAATTAGGCATCTTATTTTTTCATTATTTCTTTGAAAACTTGGGCATTATGTTGATTCTTTGTTTATTATGTTTAGATTGGAGCCAGGCGTTGCCATGATCCTACCAAAGTTGCATGCCTTATGCCACAACTTGGATCTGGTCCTGAAGCTACGGGTCTTGGAAGTGGTTTTTACACAACCTCAGATTATCAGGAAATTCTAGACTATGCTGCTCATCGCCATATTGAAATCATCCCAGAATTTGATATGCCAGCTCATGCACATGCTGCCATCCAGTCAATGTTATTAAGATATGACAAATACATATCAAAAGATCCCCAAAAAGCTTCAAAATACCTGCTCAATGACTTTAATGATGACTCAGAATTCTCTTCAGTGCAGCTATTTACAGAAAACGTTATGAACCCATGCCTTAGCTCCACATATGTCTTTATTGAGCATGTGATTAAATCTGTGATAGACTTACACAAGGGACATAACTCTCTCAAGACTATACATTTAGGAGGTGATGAGGTACCTCGGGGCGCATGGGAGAAGTCAACTGTCTGTATGCAGATGGGGAAATCAAGAGAAGAACTCAGGCAGATGTTTGCTGAGAAAATTATTAATATAACAGGTCTGTATATTTCTTACCTCTTCATTGGCAAATTATGATAAAATGTCATTGATACTGTGATGAAATGTACAGAAGTAGTAGTAAGGACAACATTTACTTAATTGAAAAAAAAAATCGTTGAGGCCCAAGGCAGATTATTATGTGTAAGAGTGTGGTGTAGCAGTCTTATGTAATATGTAATATTGAAGTAAGTATGAGTAGTAATTTTGAAGTAAATATGAGTAAATCACTATTTTTTCATTGTTGAATATGTTAGCAGTAGAGTTGCGTGACAATGCTATTTTTAGCAAAACGGTGGATTCTGCTCACTGGCTCTGCAAGGTGTCACCTGTGGAGACTGGATATTTCTATGACCAGGCACATACTGTTAACTGTGGGGAAGGTGACAGATACTTGTCTATAACTGTAATTATTTTTCATTTCATTGACAAATTTGATAGTCACTGCTGTGGTTAATAATCATGTTGCTTAGGCCACATACAAAATTGACCTTACTCAAGCTGACAGGCAGTATATGACAGATGTTTTTTTAGGGGGTGTGTCAAACCAATCTGGAAAAATGCAAGTTGTAGATTCAATTATATTGAAGACTTAAAATGAGAAGTTCAATATACAGAAGGTTTCCAAGGCCACTCACATGCGTAGAAAACATTTTATAGACCCAATGATTGGCTAGTATACATCTAATAATGATACAGACCTAACATTGCAATTTATTATGATGATCATAACCAAGGAACTGGCCAAGTATTTGATGCAAGCTTTGGAAAAAAGAAATTTAATGATGAATTGATTATAATTTATTAATAGTTAATTGACATTTGATGTGTTATTACTATTATCCTTGTTATTTTTATTCATTATAATTGTTGCCCAGGGGAAATGTTCATTAGTAGTATGATAACATAATAGTAAGGTTATTGAGCACAAGCTTTTACTGTTAGCTTTTGGCCAACCAGACTGGAGACTATCAGACAGATCAGACAGAAGATGTTGTCTCTGACCACAAGGTTGAATGGATTGCTGTCCTTGGGAAACATGATACCTTATGATGACAAATAGGTTCAAGTGGCCAGAGCAGTACCCTTGTCACTATAACAAACTGTATTTTATTCTTCTGTTATTGGTTTTTGTAATTTTATAAACTATACCAAGTTTTAGAAATTTTCACAGTCTATAACAAACTATCAGATAATGCTCTGACACTTCAGCAATGAATAGATTTACCCTGACAGCTGGTGAAATTAGTGTGACAATTATATCTTGTTCATCCTGAGGTGTATTTTGCTTCATTTCCCAAAAGTTTGATTTGATTTTCTAAATTGCACCTTTGTTGATAGCTGAAGTGTCTCTGCTCTTCAAATTAGTTGGGAAATTTTCTAGCAACATGTTTTATGAGAATTTTACAACACAATTTAGTGCTCCACAGACACAAGTTCATGTGTACAGTGGCATGCTGTCAAATCTTTTCCCTCTAACTTTTAGTCTGTAACAAGTTATAATCATTTTATAACAATGCTAGTTTGTATCTCAGCACTAGGGTTTGGTAGTTTGGCCCTAGATACAATATCTTAGGTTAATAACACTGTATTGAAATCAGCCATCTTTCCTCTGGCTCCTGTGTAAAATGTCCATGAGTTGCACAGTCAGAAGGAAAAAGTCAGCACATGCAGTCGAGCACTCAATTAATGTGTGCAGGCCTATTTATTGCAATTGGTGATGGAATGTGTAGATGGGGATAACATTGGGTAGTATGTGTGTTTATATGAGTGTGTTTGTGTGAAATGGTGTACGTATGCTGCTAAAAACCTTGTATGCTTGTAGATTGGTAGATTGTAACTTGAAAGTAGTGCATGTAGTGCATTTTAAGTTTGGTAGGAAAAGTAGTTGTTTGAAGTTGACATTCATTTGGCAATAATATGTTTTCTACACTGAGGAAAGAAATAGTGTTGTGCAATTAGCTGTCTAGTTGAGTAGTGTGGGTGAGTCGGTGTGGAGGTTGCCATTGGAGGAACACTTTAATAATTGGTTTTCATAAGATAAATTATATTGTGCAATTTAAATTGTTCAGTTAGGGCTAATTATTGTGCCTCATAAAGGAAATATGTCACATAGCAGACATGCTGAAAACTTTTCAGAATGGCCGGACATTTAGACCGACAGTAATGAAAAATTGTCTATTCGTTTGAGACAGATACTTCCAGTATGATTAAGTAACTTACTTTGTTTGTGAATGTGATAGGTTTGAAATGGAGGGGAAAAACGCTTTGGGTTTCATATAATTTTATTAGTGAAGTATGTCGAATGATGAATGTAAATTCAAAACTGTGGTTCTTAAAACTCTTGTCGGTACTTTGTACCGACCAAGTCCAATTTTATACCAGTCCAGACAAATTTTCCCGGTCATGACCGATCAGACCGAGAGTTTCATCATGTCTGCATAGGTATTTGGTAACATGTAATATTTGGTTAAACTCTGTATATGTGCCAAGAATGGAAAAGTGAACTATATTACAGGGAATACAAACTGTAGAGCATTAAATTTGAAGCTGATAGGAAGTTGGTAGGAGTATAGCTTTTGATTTTCTTTCAGCAAAGTATCAAGTAGATGTAATATTATGGGATGCAATCAAGAAAAGTGACAAAGACATTGTCCACAAGGACCAGTATAACATGCCAGACAATCAAATCAGCATAAATGTGTGGGACATAGGGCATTCAGGCCAGGATATAGCTCATGTACTTCTCAAAAAAGGATATAAGGTAAATATATATTTATATACATATGAAATTTAAAACAAGAAGAACTATGAAATATAATATCCAAATTGCATAGATAATGCTAGGGCAGACATTTTTTTGCATTTTCTATGATTTTGTTGCTGTTTATATAAAAATTATGCTAAACCTGTTAACTTTAGTGTGTAATAAAGTGTCAAAATGGAAATAAACTCATTTCACTGCAGTTTGTCAGATTGACTCATTCACTTTGTTCAGAATCTCAGAATGGAGCATATGGACATTTAAAATTGTTCTGTTGATATTTTTCCCATCTTAGCAATTTTCTTAGTTGATCCTTTAAAAGTGAGAGTAAATGAGTTATTTTGTTTTATGTAAAAAAAGTAATGAAAATGGAAATAAACTGATTTCAGTACAGTTATCTCGTTTACATGGTGTGAATTTAATTTCCATGGGTCTTTGCTAGTCACATTTTCTAAATATCCATGTTACCTGCAGTGCCTAATTAAAGATTGGTGGTGATTATACTGTTAAGCATTAATGTTATATTTTCTCAAAATTGAAGAAAACCCATTTGGGGCACTGTTGCAGTAGTGACTGTTAAAGGAAAACCATGCCACTTACTGTCCTCAAACTTACAGTAAAGAAACATAGGACTTAAATACAGCATCAGTTGGAAAACCAGTCTGATTGGGTAATTTTTCTAAAAGTAATATAGTATTTTGTGAAATTTTTATTCTTCATATATTAACATTTTCAAGGTGTGACTTTCATTGGCTTGAAGACTTTTTCTAGTCACGTTTTTTGAATATCCATGATACTTATATTTGATCATAAAATATTGATGGTAATTATGCTGTTACGAATTATGCAATATTGCATCAAAAGTGAAGAAAACCCTATTTTGGACACTGCTGCCATTAAGAAAAAAACATAATGTCCATGTTATTTATACTAGACAATTACAAATTGGTGGTAATTATACCTTTAATCATTATGTAATACTGCAACAAAACCTATTTTGTGCACTGCCACCAGAAACATTATGAAAAGAAAATTGTTACTCATTATTTTTTTTTAACTTACAAGAATCATTCTTAGGATTGATGTACAGTTCAAATTAGAAAACCTGCTGTATTGAATTATCATTTTTTTATTGACTTTTTTTGTGAAATTCTCGTGGGCCTGAAGCCTTATGCTTGTTACACATTTTACTAACATTGGTATTATCTGTTGTGCATAATTACAATTTGATGTTGAATTTGCAGTTAAGCTTAATGTATTTTTGCATCGGAATTAACAGTAGCCTATTTTTTGCATTATTTTCTGCTTTTTGTCTGTACATTTGACAGCTTTGCTACCTTGTTATCAATTTACTAGGGCAAAAATGATATTGTCAATTTAGAGACAGCATCCTTAAAGTTGAATAGGAAATAATGTATTGGAAATCCAAATGTGATCTTGCATGTCGCCTTTGACCTCCTGATGCACTTTTCAAACTTTATACCCCTTTCATTTCCTATACTAAAAGAGATTAACCCATAATGACTAGAATACAAATAAGAAGTCATATATATTAAATCAGAATTAAAAAAGCAGCAATTTTACCAAGATTGATCTCAAAAGCCTAGCTATCATTTGATCTTTTGTTTCTTCAAGAATTACTATCAGTTTACTATCAGTCTTGTTAAAATGAGAAAATTAGTGAAAGATAAGGGAACATTTGTCTCTTTGCTAAATAAGTTTCCAAATTGCCAAAAAACATTTTAGATTAACTAAGGCTTTCATCATATTTACAAAGTATTTGTGTCATTTATGCTTCCTGTGTAGTGATCGAAACAATATTGTAGCAGACAACATACAAGGGTTCCTTTTATTGCAATGACTATGGATGCATTTGCATTTGCAGCACCGTTAACACCATAAGTGGAAAACCATTTTACTTTTTAGTTTGAAACTTACAGAACTGATGAATATTTATAATGCGCAGGTCAAGTTCGAAAATCAGCATGATCGGGCCATTTTTAGGGAAGTTATGCTGTTTTTTCACTATTTTCAACATATATGCAATACAGATAACGCGATAAGTGAAGAACTGTTTTACCTTTAGGCTTTAAACTTATAGAACTGATGAATATTCATAATGCGCAGGTCAAGTTCGAAAATTGGCTTGATTGGAGAAAATTGGCTTTTACAAAAGTTATGCTGTTTTTTCCTTTATTCAGCATATATGCAACACTGATGATNTCGCCTCTCTGATCCTCTAGTTTTTTTTTAACTTACAAGAATCATTCTTAGGATTGATGTACAGTTCAAATTAGAAAACCTGCTGTATTGAATTATCATTTTTTTATTGACTTTTTTTGTGAAATTCTCGTGGGCCTGAAGCCTTATGCTTGTTACACATTTTACTAACATTGGTATTATCTGTTGTGCATAATTACAATTTGATGTTGAATTTGCAGTTAAGCTTAATGTATTTTTGCATCAGAATTAACAGTAGCCTATTTTTTGCATTATTTTCTGCTTTTTGTCTGTACATTTGACAGCTTTGCTACCTTGTTATCAATTTACTAGGGCAAAAATGATATTGTCAATTTAGAGACAGCATCCTTAAAGTTGAATAGGAAATAATGTATTGGAAATCCAAATGTGATCTTGCATGTCGCCTTTGACCTCCTGATGCACTTTTCAAACTTTATACCCCTTTCATTTCCTATACTAAAAGAGATTAACCCATAATGACTAGAATACAAATAAGAAGTCATATATATTAAATCAGAATTAAAAAAGCAGCAATTTTACCAAGATTGATCTCAAAAGCCTAGCTATCATTTGATCTTTTGTTTCTTCAAGAATTACTATCAGTTTACTATCAGTCTTGGTAAAATGAGAAAATTAGTGAAATATAAGGGAACATTTGTCTCTTTGCTAAATAAGTTTCCAAATTGCCAAAAAACATTTTAGATTAACTAAGGCTTTCATCATATTTACAAAGTATTTGTGTCATTTATGCTTCTTGTGTAGTGAGCGAAACAATATTGTAGCAGACAACATACAAGGGTTCCTTTTATTGCAATGACTATGGATGCATTTGCATTTGCAGCACCGTTAACACCATAAGTGGAAAACCATTTTACTTTTTAGTTTGAAACTTACAGAACTGATGAATATTTATAATGCGCAGGTCAAGTTCGAAAATCAGCATGATCGGGCCATTTTTAGGGAAGTTATGCTGTTTTTTCACTATTTTCAACATATATGCAATACAGATAACGCGATAAGTTAAGAACTGTTTTACCTTTAGGCTTTAAACTTATAGAACTGATGAATATTCATAATGCGCAGGTCAAGTTCGAAAATTGGCTTGATTGGAGAAAATTGGCTTTTACAAAAATTATGCTGTTTTTTCCTTTATTCAGCATATATGCAACACTGATGACGCATTTTAAGGAAAACAAATCAGCCTTTTGCCTTTCAACTCACAGGAGTGATCAGTCTGACCAGTATACAGATCAAGTTTGAAAATGAGCTTAATCAGTTGAGTTTTGATGAAGTTATTAGCCTTTTTGTATATAAGTGGTTTTTCTTCAGATTTAATTCTTAGGCATGTTAACAGTCTCATTATGGAACTAATTAGATGTGTAAAAGTGTTGTTTTGACATTTTCTGCTTCTTAACAATATTGTTAGTTGATTATATAAAAATGACGGTAAACCTGTTATCGTGCATTGTGTAATAAAGTATCAAAAGTGGAAAGGAACTCATCATTGTAGTTCGTCAGATTCAATCATTCACTATGTTCAGAATCTCCGAATGGAGCAAATTGGACATTTGAAATTGTTCTATTGATATTTTTCCTATGTCAACAATTTTCCTAGTTGATCATTTAAAAATGACAATAAATTGATTATTTTGTTTAATGTAAAAAAGGTGTTGAAAATGGAAAGAAAATCATTTCAGTACAGTTATCTCTTGTTTACATTTTGGCATTTTTAAAGTGTGACTCTGAACTTCCATGGCCTTGATGACCTTCCCATATCATATTTTCTGAATATCCATGATACTTTTATTTTTTTATAAAAAAATTTATGGTCATTATGCTATTAAGTATTATGTTATATTGCATGAAAATTGAAGAAAACCCTATTTTGGACACTGCTGCCAGGATAGCGATTAAGGGAAAACCATGTTACTTATGATACTCAAATTTACTGAAAAGTTTCATAAGACTGAAGTGCAGCTTGTGTTGGAAAACCAGTGTGTTTGTTTCTGTTTTGGAAGCAATGCAGTTCTATAGAGTGCTATATGGTGCAATAAATGTATATGGATAGCGGGCAGTATGTTAATTCAGGTTATAAAGTAATTTGCTTAATTAATTTTTCGAGTTATTTTAGGGTTATAAAGTAATTTGCTTAATTAATTTTCAAGTGGCCATTAAATGAGATTACATAAAACACACGTTGAGATTTCATTGTAAAGTCCCACAGGTTTAGCTCTCTTGATTGTGTCACATAATTAGGAATCGATGATTATTATGCAGGTAAATGTTATTTAATATTGAAAATAATTTTACAAAAGAAAAATTTTGTGTAACGTTTACATTAATGCTAAAGATGAATAACAGTGCAGTATTATTCTCAAACTCAATAGGGTTATTCAAATCATGTTAGTAATTATACAGCTTAAAAGTTTGAATAGCAGCTTTATTGGAATTTTTGTTATGTTTTATTTTACAATTTCTTATATATATATTATTGTTATTATTATTTTTTTATTGAGTTTAAGCAATTTTTTTGTGAAATTTTCACTTATTCTCATTCGGGCATTTCCAAAGTGTCTTGAACTCTTATCAGCCTGAAGCCTTAGGGACCATTTCCAGACCCTATCACGCGCTAAATTGCAATTAATGTAAGTGGCTTAGCTGTCTGTCACCTCTACTGAAACTAGCATGCCAGAATCCTAAGCCGCTTAAGCTGAAGGCAATTTAGTGAGAAACCCCTTGGAGTTGGATTGATCCTCGTAGATTGATGTAGGTATGGGAATTCAGTCTAATGCTTGTTACACATTTTACTTTCATCCTGATCCACTGTTGTGCAGAATTAAAATTTGATGTTGGCTGTAGTTAAGCATAATACATAAGTGCATCAGAATTAACAGCATCCTATTTTCTGCATTTTTATTTTTTGTTTTTTGTCTGTACATTTGACAGCTTTGGTGCCTTGTGTGATAAAACAAATATATTTCTGTGAGTTGTTTACACAGCTTAAACTCAAGTTGGATGATTCATATCATGGTAGTGCAACTAGACTGAATGGCAGCTTTAGTGGAATATTTTTGTAATTTTTTCTTTTTTAATTTTTCATTTTTCAAACTGGCATTTTCAAGATGTGACTTATCACTCCCATCCACCAGGAGCCCTGTACTGTTACTTTGTAACATTTTCTGTATTTTTTTTAACAAGAATGATTCTTAGGATTGACATACAGCCCAAATTAGAAGAACAGCTCTATTAAATTATATATATATATATATATATATATTAGTTTAAGCAATTTTTTTTGTGAAATTTTCACTTTATCTCATTCTGGCATTTCCAAAGTATGAACTTTAACTCTTATCAGCCTGAAGCCTTAGGGACCATTTCCAGACCCTATTACACTAACTGTGGATCGATCTATCTCCAAGGGAATTCTCGCTTAATTGCAATCAAATTGCTAAGTGGCTAAGCTGTCTGTCACGCCTACTGAAACTGGCATGGCAGAATCCTAAGCCGCTTAAGCTGAAAGCAATTTAGTGAGAAACCCCTTGGAGTTGGATTGATCCTGTTGGATTGATCTAGGTATGGGAATTCAGTCTAATGCTTGTTACACATTTTACTTTCATCCTAATCCACTGTTTTTGCAGAATTAGAATTCGATGTTGGCTATGCAGTTACAGAAAGCATAATGCATCAGTTCATCAGAATTGACAGTATCCTATTTTCTGCATTTTTATTTTCTGGTTTTTGTCTGTACGTTTGACAGCTTTGCTGCCTTGTTAATGCAATCACACACAACAGATATGTCACATAACACATTCTTAACTCTTCTTCAGGTCATCTTGTCAAATGCAAACTATCTCTATTTTGACCACCCCCAAATTCAAGATCCAGAAGAGCGTGGTCTTTACTGGGCTTCGCGGTCTATATCCTTGGAGCATGTGTTCAAGTATAGGCCTCTTTGCGGAGGGTACCAGGAAAAGTGTAAGCTAGTGGATCAGTCTGAGAACATTTTGGGTAAGTTCACTGAAAACAGATGCTTTAATGCAAAAAGCTAAGAATTGTGTATAAATGTATTAGTTCAAACATATTGGGAAAGTGTAAAGAGATGAAGAAACCTGAGAATCATATACAAGATTCTTTAGAAAACAGAACTGGTTTGCTGTGTGGATTGTATGTTTACTATAACCACAGCAACAGTTTAATCATTGCACAAGGGACGCAAAAAAGATGCTGTTAGTGGGCTTTAAAGAGAAGCCCTGCCATGTTAAATCAATCCAGCTGAAAGGATGGGTTTTTGGGAATGCATTCTAAGATGTTGAAGATTCCATGACTGATAAGATACAGTTTTATAATTAATTGTTGATTCTGAATTGGAAGTTGTTAGTAGTTGTAGTAATATGAAATGTTACAAAAGTAAATGTAGACTTGATAGATAAAAAGACATCAAAAGGAAAATAAATTGTACTAATTTTTTGCAAAGTGTACAGATTAAATAGAAATGTTGCTTTCAGCTTGTATGAAAGTGACCCTGTTATCTCTATCTTTGTTTATTAAAGGAATACAAAGTCAATTATGGACAGAAACTATACGTAGTGCAGATCAGTTTTACTATATGCTGTTTCCACGGTTACTGGCAGTGGCTGAGAGGTCATGGCATCAGGCTCCCTGGGAGACAGATGACACAAAGGCTGACCTCATGCAAGAAGATTGGGAGAAGTTTGCGAGCACCCTCGGACTCAAGGAATTATCTGAACTTGATTCTTTGGGCATTTGGTATCGTTTGCCTTTACCAGGAGCTGTGTAAGTACATTTTGTTCCATTTTCACCAACAGCACATTCTTGTTCAGTCTGACTGTCTCCTTTTGGAGCAGGTTGCTCAGTTAATGTTTGGTGTCTGATAGCACATATTCACTTTCTTTAGAAGAATAAAATCCATAACAAAAGTGGAAAACAGGTTAAACTATTGTCATCAAACATATTGATGAATATTAATAAAATGCAAGTCAAGTTTAAAAGTCACCTTCATCTGACCACAGGTACGTTGCATTTTCCATTTTTTTCAGCAAACTGTACTATATTGTAATTGTACAACCAGCGTGGCGCTAGGTCACATTTAATTTCAACTTGAGCCATGTGAATTTTGGGCTTAGTCGGTGCTCGGATCTAGGTGTGGTGCTTGTCACAATGCACCCTTGTCTAAAATTTGCAAAATTTAATTCTAAATTTCTCCCAACTCAAAGGAATTATGGGAAAAATTTCTATAGATGGCTGACTGACAGTCATATGTGGAGATTTCATATATGAATTTGACCTTTGACATTTATTTCAAGGTCAAATGGGGCAAAATTGTCTAAAAATTGGAATTTTCTGCAAAAAAAAAAAAAAAAAAAAAAATAGTTTGTGCCAATTTTCAGGAACTACACAGATGAAAACTCTCATATTATATTGAAAGGTTACAATTAGGGACTCCTTTCATCTTCAAGAGTTTGGGGTAAATTGAAGTATTTTTACGGGAGAAACTGAAAAAACTCTAATTCTGCAACCATAGATGCTAAAGACCTCTTGTTTTTGCATTTTTAAGAGCCTGTCAAGTGCAATACTAGAAGTGATCTCAAATTTTTTTGTTTTCCATATGGTTTAGGAGTTGCGCTATATCAAATATTACAATGTTACAATATTCAGTGGTGAAAATAAAAATGTGGAATACTCCAAAACTTGCAGAGATATGCCCATGGAACTTGTTAAGCCTACTTTTCATCATGAACTGAACTTTGCAAAGTTTCTGTCCCTTATATCTCCAAACTCCAAAACTGGCAGAGATATGCCCATAGTTACTATTGATGTTGAATAGGAGCTCATGTATTGAAGGTCTTCCTGTGACCTTGAAATTTATCTTTGACCTACTTTTCACCGTGAACTGCACCTGGCATATTTCCAGGCTCTTATATTTTCTTGGATGGGAAGTCCTATATTTACCATCTTATTGCAACCTTGGATTTGACTTATCACTTTTCCCCACAGTTTTGTTGCAAATTGTAATTTTCTGCACCCCCCCCCAAAAAAATAAATAAATAAATAAATAAATGGATAAAAATAAAAATGAAATAAAAATAAAATAGAATTAGTATTGCATATAAACAACATCCAGGCTAGAAGTCACATCTAATACAATGTTGAAATAACACCATGATTAGCAGTCCTCTAAATATCAGATATAATACAAGATCATGACTAGCAGTCATGTAACATTGAATACATTGTAAAAACAACATAGTGATTAGCAATCATCTTACTTAATATCATGTCTACTACAATCTTAAAATGATATCATGACTAGTAGTCTTAATATTTCAGACCTTAAAGACATTAAAATCCTGTTACTAAAAGTTTATATAAAGTGTGCGTAGTGCCATTATCTCAGGATTACAAATAGCCATGATAAAAAACATCTCACCTTTTTTGCGTTATTGTGCAAAATGAAAGAAAGGCCACATCTTTGAAAGTCAGAACAGTGAAAATTGTTCTGAATACTAGGACAGTCCTTTAGAATTAAATTTTTGAATTAAAAAGGGAATACAATGAATTAAATCATTGGATTAAAAAGGAAATAAATCACTGAATTAAAAAAAACAAACAAATTGTTGAATCCCAGTGCTTGGGATAAGATGGTTAATGGTTTTTGTGTAAGAGAAAATTGCCCTTTTTGAGGAAACTTTGTTTTGGAGGGGAAATTACTTATAGTTTAGATTTATAAAATAGCATGTTTTTAATGCAGTACTTTGCACTTCAGTTTCAGCAAAGATGGCACCTTATCAGCCAACTGTGAGATCCCTGGATTTGATATCATGTACAGTGTGGACTTTGGGCAAACATGGAAGGTATTTCATTCAGGAATGGTGTTTCATAAAGACAGTGGTCATATTGACAGCAATGATAACAGAGAAGTATGGCTGGCTATAAGGTGAGAAATACTCAGATTTAAGTAAATTCAGCTTCTTAAACATTGCACCCCACTGTGTCTCAGTGTGGTTGACATTAGATGCCAACCTGCCTGGCATATGTTTTGACCCCCTGAGTCAGACTAGGTGGTGATGTTCTCACCTCCCTGGGGAGAAAGCAGCCCAGCTACTGTACCCTGCGATATCAAGAACCTCTAAAATAGTAAATGAAATTAAAGGATTCTACTCACGTAAATATCAATTTCTCGAATTTGGAAGATTCAGCACTCAATCCTTTAATTTGCTTTGAGAATTTGTTTCTGAAGGGTGTTTCATCTGAAATATTAAGTAATTTAAAAGGTTTATAATTTTATAATTTGAAATGCAAGTTCTGCATCTGTATGCAATACTTTTTGCAAATTTGTAAGTTTTGTCAAACCCAAAAACATATATCAGAACAAGGTAAAAAAGCATTGTTTGCTAATAGTAGCATGTTAAAAAATCATAACTTTAATGTGTTCACTTTAATGTGTGCACTCTAGTATGTTTTAAATTATGCATGGAGATTTAACATGGTAAGGGATATAAGAAAGCACATGCAGATTTTTTAAAAGAATGTTGGGTATAGAAAGGAGCACTAGTGATAACTAATATAAGTTCATTGTACATAACTTAGTATATTATGAAACCGTGAGGAGATACCGCTTCTTTTAAGTATAAAGCTATGATTTTTTAATATTGATTTAAATCCGCTCCTCAAAAAATTGTATTATAACAGCGTGCTATAAAGATCTACTTAACAAAAAAATTTGATTAGGTAATTTGAGTACAGAATGAACTGGAGACAATTGGCTTGTCATTAATTTTTCATGAAAGTATGTCAGATAATTTGATACCGTCCTGGATAGAGTAAAGAGTGAAAGATAATTTTAGACAAACATTGACAGATGAAATATCCACAAGGAGTAAAGGGCTATTGTTCCAACATCTTGTTGATAATTTTACAGTGCAGTTCTATTTAAATAAGCCAATTTCACAGAAATATAAGGAATTTCTTGCCGAATTGAGTGTTTCATTACATAATCTAGCTGTAGAAACTGGAAGGTAAACAGACACAATAAAAATTAAGAACCTGTGAACTATGTATTTTAGATGACATCAAGGGTGAATTTCATTTTATTCTTTTAGGAACTTAAAATTTCAAAATGTCTTTGCTACAGAACGATTAGTCAGAAATACATCAAAATTTTTATTACACAAAACAAAGTGTTTTCAAACAAAGTAATTTATCACTTAACAATGTTTCACAATTAAACAACTTATGAAAGTACTTAAAATGTACATCGGAGCTAAGATTAGCATCAGTCTGATGAGTTTTTATCATTACCACTAGTAGTTGTATTGTTGTTGTTTTTATGACTTTATATTTTTATTGCATTTCATTCTGATGAGCTGTAGGGCGCAAGGGTTTAATAAATTGAATTGAATTTCATAAATAACATGGACCTCATATCGAAGGATCAAAAGTACCTTCAACTCATTCGAATGCAGTATTTTAAACTAGATGGGATAACCATAATTAAATGCTAGTTAAAGGATTGGATAGACGGGGAAATGGCTTCACACGGCTTCATGAAGATTGAGATCCCTCCGGTAAGAGATCTGAATGAGTATGAACTTTTAATCAGCAGTCAGAAAAGTAAACTTACAGGTAGAAAATGCAGCTCAGTTTGACAGCTAAACATGCTGCTTGGCTCTCTCCTCCGGTGGCAAGATAGTCGTAATTGGACCAAGTGACCAGGTAGCTCATTAACTCCCAAGCCTAGCAAAAAGGACGTCTTTTAAAGCCCAAAATTTACAAAATGAGCTTTTAATTTGTGTATTTGGATAAAGATATCGTTAGTTGGGCATGTGTTCTGAAGAATATGCTCCATTCAGGCCATTCAGACGATCTGTCGAGAAACCTTTAAGGTATAGGTCCCTGTGGGAATGCACCTGATCAGCTCATCTGCTCTTATGTAACTACCTGGCCCCTACCTGCCCCTTAAATGGTGGCTCAGGCAGGGATGTGTGCAGCTCAGCATCTAGGTGTGGAAGTGCCTTTACTGACAAATGCAAAGGGAATGTCTGGTGTTTTCATTGATCAGGTCAAAGTGGTCACAGTGTACAGCTTCTGTGTGAAAGAAAGCGTATTAACAATCCTTCATGAACAGTTTTTTCTGTCTCCTCACTTGGCACACAGCACTCTGAGGTTGAAGCAGGGGTAAAGTATCTGGTCTGGCATTGATAGATATTTTTGGTATGCTGATTTTCAATGCTTCAGCTGGGATAAGTCCTGTGGAGGAAGGTGAGACCATCAGCATCCAGTCAGGAGAAGGGGCGAGAAATATGCCAAGCATGTTGACAGTATGACATCTTTTGTAAAGCCTATATAGCATATTAAATTGTATAAGAACCAGTCTGCACTTTCATATTTATTTTCAATCTCTTAAAAACTGCCCGATTGTTAATTGGCCCAAAGGGTACATTTAATTGTCAGTTAAAAGAGTGAACCACTACTTCTTTATAAAATTGTTTTGGTAGCACTTGTGTGTTAAATGTTTAATCAGACTTGTTACTTATTTATGGTTTCAAAACCATCTGAATGTTTATTATTCAGGAGTCACACTCTGAAGAGGGCCAGTGATTTTGTGAGATTGAACTTTCACACCAATGAGGAACAGAAGCTCAAACTAATCACAGATGAAAATGACAAACCTCCCTTGAAACTTGCAGAACAGAGTAAATTTGTACCTGTCAGCAAATGAAAACCCTGCAACTAACAGTTCTAGGCTGTTAAGAATGCTTAGAGGGCAATTTATGGAAATATGGTGCAGTGTCTGAAGTTATTTGGAAGTTTGCAGCACTAAGTGATTTGCTAACCCACCTCATCTGAATCTTTCAATGTACAAATAAACTCTTATTACTTGGAAATGATATGCATCTAAAAAATTTCAAACACAATTCAGTGAAACTGTTTAATGTTTATTGGAAAAATAAAGAAAAGAAAAAATGACACCACATGTTATGGCTCAAAAGGTGTTGTCATTCTGAACAAATATGTTAATTCAAATTTTTTGGGCTTGAATATATAGTACAAATGTTTCTCTCATTTAAATTATGAATGATTGTATTTTGTATGAACAATAGAAAATATGAATGCCTTTTTATGTACAGACACAGATGTGTCTGTACATATAACCGTCTCCTCCATTTGTCGTTGCCATTGTCACCGCTGTCGCCGTGCACTTTCACTGATAACATGATGACTGGAAAACTGTTCAAAGTTTTGGCTTGAAACTTACAGAACTCATGAATATTCATAAAACGCAGGTCAAGTTCGAAAATCAGTATGACCGGGCCATTTTTTTTTAAAAGGTTATGATGTTTTTAAACTTTTTTAGCATATATGCAACACTGATAACACATTTCAAGAAAAACCACTCGGCCTATTGTCTTGAAATTCACAAGTGTGATCATTCTTACTAAAATACAGGTTGATTTTGTAAATCAGCTTGATCAGACCAATTTTTACAAAAGTTATGCTTTTTTTTTTTTGCTTTTTATCAGCATACATGCAGCACTGGTAAGATATTTCAGTGAAATCTTTCGTTCTATTGGCTTGAAATTCACAGGTGGTCAATCTTACTAAAATATAGGTCGAGTTCGAAAATCAGCTTGATCAGACCATTTTTACAAAAGTTATGCTTTTTTTGTATATAAGTGGTTTTTGATTATAAAAAATGATGGTATATTTGTTTTTGTGTATTGTGTAATAGAGTTAAAATGAAAAAAACTCATATCATTGCAATTTGTCAGATTCAATCATTCACTATATTTAGAATCTCAGAATGGATCAAATTGGACATTTAAAATGGTTCTATTGATATTTTTCCTATGAATACAATTTTCTTAGTTGATCATATAAAAATGACAGTCAATTAAATATTTTGTTTCATGTACAAAGGGTGTTGATAATGGAGATAAACACATTTCAGTACAGTTAGCTCTTGTTTACATTTTGGCATTTTTAAGGTGTGACTCTGAACTTCCATGGGCTTTTGCTAGTCACATTTTCTGAATGTCCATGATAGTTTTACTTTATTATTAAAAGTTGATGGTGATTATGCTGTTAAGCATTATGATATATTCAGGGATCTCCCTAGGTTGAAGGTCAAGTGTGCCATTTGGGCACACTCAAGATTGAAAAGTGTGCCATTTTGCAAAACATTGTGCCCAGTCATTCAATGAATGCTTGGGTCACTAATAGACAGTATAATTTAATTGTGACCATTATTAATTGCATTTATAATTTATATTAAAGATTACTCTTGTTTTTTTTTTAGATAAAATCTGAGAATTATTCTCAACATAAAAATAATCAGAATAAAACATCTAAACAAAAAGTTTTTTTTTTCATTCTTTTTTAGTGTAATATAACAAAGCCCATGGCAACATTTTAGCAACATCCACTTATGCATGTGTGTAACAGTGTTCATAAAAAAACTTTTAATAGAAAATTATATTCTGATTTACTCCCCTGGATGCTAAGACGTGCATCTTTAGATCTGTAAATATCAACTTTCCAGTTCCATCAGAAATATACAAGTCTTTAAAAAAGAAGTTTTTTGGGGCTAATTTAGTGGATCAACTACTCTGCAACTGGTTACCAATTTATGATGAACTAAAATATCTGCTCTTTCATCACATAAGACAATAATGACTAGTGACTCTGTAGTGTAATGTTCTCATCAATCAAACAAGATAAAACACCAAGTATGTCAGTTGCAGTATTGTAACTGCAGTATGAGACTGCACTGCTGCACTTCAGCTGACCTATATCTGGAACTTCTACAGCTTGGAGAAAGTTCATTAAAGAATTGTACTTGGAAAGTTGTCGTGTCTGACATAGATATCTTTTGAAGTCAAAAGTGGAATACACTCCTTGGCCATCCAAACCACTGCTTTCATCGCTGTCATGATGGCCTTCTCTTGTTCAGGGCTTTGGTAGATGTCGTGGTAATGTACTCCTGTTTTCTTTGGTAACTGTTAAAATAAGCATTGCAATTCAGTAATGCTGCCTACTACTTTATTAATTACATAATATATATACTTAGAAACTTAAAAATTCACTAATCATGTTGTCCATAATAACAATCAGTGATACTCAAACTAAAATGACTGAAATGCAATCCCATTACTTTGCATAATAATTTCAATATCATACAGTACATTAACTTGGCAATAAACTACCAGATTTTATTCAAAACAATACAAATAGAAATGGAAGGCATAATTAGTTTTAATTGACTGCTTATCCCACCAAAAACGTAGTACATTGCTCAAGGTCAAATACAAAATAAACTCAAAATAATTTCTCCAGTGTACGCATGCGAACATCTTTAAGTAGGCTGCAAACGCGCAAACACTTAATCATTCGTTTTTTAATTGACTTTGAATCAGAATTAATTTATTTAAGTTACCTGGATAGCGCACACATGGTCGGTCATTCCAACGTGGTGAGCGTACTGGTGCGAAAGTTGGACGATACCCCCAGGGCCAGGGCCATGGTATTACGTTTGCCAGCCTTTTTGCATGGTGCACACCACATGGTTGATTTTTCCTTGTCGAAGCGCAGCCACAGGAATATCTGCAGCCAACTTTGCTGAAACTTCCTAACAGAAGTTAGTAGAGGCTCCCTATCTGGTTCATTACCACTAGTATGTCCACTTTCTGGTGCATTACCACCAGTATGTCTTGTATACCAAAAAAAAAAAAAAAAACGAAACTTCGGCTGCTTTGCTTTTGGCGCGGTCATCTCTGAACTTCCGGTGTACTCTCTACGCAGAGAAGGTACTCTCCATGCAGAGAACACGCGCAGTAGACGAGGCTAGAACTTTGAAGTTCGGTTTTCCCGAATGACACTTGTTCCAAGTTTAGTAAAACTTTGGTGGGTTTAAAAATACACAATTTTAACAGATTAAAATATGTTGAACAAACAAACTCCGTTTTTTACTGTATTTAAATTTTATTTATTTTGATGCGCCCTTGGGACGCACTGCTATTGAAAAAATGCGTCATTACAAATCTGTGCGCGCCAATGGCGCAAAAACGCAGCCTCGAGAGATCCCTGTATATTGCATCAAAATTGTAGAAAACCCTTTTTTGGGCACTGCCTCCATAGCGACCATTAAAGGAAAACCATGTCACTTACTCTTCTCACACTTACAGGAAAGAAACACAGGACTAAAATACCGCTGTAGTTGGAAAATCTGTCCTATTGGGTTTTTTTTTGAAGTTATAAAGTTTTTTTTGTGAAAATTAATTTTTTTGCATATTGGCATTTTCAAGATGTGACTTTGAACTTCCATGGGCTATGAAGACCTTTGCTAGTCACATTTTCTGAATATCCATGATACTTTTATTTTATTATTTAAGTTTGATGGTGATTATACTGTTAAGCATTATGATATATTGCATCAAAATTGAAGAAAACCCTATTTTGGGCACTGCCTCCATAGTTACCATTAAAGAAAAACCATGTCACTTTCTTTTCTTAAACTTTCTCATTCTGGCATTTTCAGGGTATGAACTCTTATCAGCCTGAAGCCTTGGGGACCATTTCCAGACCCTATCTTGCTAACTGTGGATTGCTTTATCTCCCAGGGGATTCTCGCTAAATTGCAATCAGTGTAAGTTGCTTAGGTGTCTGTCACGCCTTCTGAAGCTGGCATGCTAGAATCCTTAACCGCTTAAGCTGAAACCCCTTGGAGGTGGATCGATCCTGTTAGATTGATCTAGGTATGGGAACCCAGTCTAATGCTTGTTACATATTTTACTTTCATCCTTATTAACTGCTGAGCAGAATTAAAATTTGATGTTGGCTATGCAGTTAAGCATAATGCATTTTTGCATCAGAGTTGACAGTATCCTAGTTTGTGCATTATTATTTTCTTCTTTTTGTCTGTACATTTGACAGCTTTGCTGCCTTGTTCATAAAAATTTGTGCATTTTAGAAAAAAAAAAAAAACAATTATCTGGTACTAATGTATTTGGCAGAACAATACTGTGTAGTAAGTCCATGGTTTTATATTGCTACAGATTTTTAGAATGAGCAACTAAAATAGACATCACTTATAGTGTAGAACAGTTTCATTAGCTATGTTATTGTAATAGACTTGTGAAGATTCTTTTGTCTATAGCTATTTATATTTTTCTGATCTTACCAGCCAATACGACTTCATCAGGGAATGAGGTTGTGACAGGTGTTGTATACAAGTGTGAGTGTCAGGTATGTGGAGAGAAATTCATCAGAGAGACAGGGGCCCGTTTCCCGAAGCAGTTGTTATTTAACGATCGGTAGTTAGCCTCTCGCTAGTTATGAGTGCCGTTTCATGAAGCTATCGCTAGTTCTCTCGCTCGTTATTGTGTTGTTGTTACCATGGATATTTAACTACTGGTCAGACCAGTCGCTAACTCTAGAGTTTCATGGTACGCATTCGTAATGAATGAAATAGAAAGGTTGATTAGTTACTGTTGTCTGTCGTTTGTCTTTGTGTGCAATATGGCTGCTGCCTTTCTTGCTATCTGTACTGCCAGATGGCAACATTTCATCAGAGGCAGAATCTATTAGAATATATGCACAGTGATGCAATTTATGAGAGGTTGCACCTGGCTGTGACAAAAAGAGTGGCAAAAAAGATGGTGGAGATCCTTTATGATGACCTCAAAGGAGACATTCTTACGCATTTCCAGCCACCAAAAATTGGAGAGTTATCTACATATTGTGACACTTTTATGCAAGAATTCTGGTAGACTGTTTCAAGAGTACAGTGAGTAACGGCAGAACTGAGGACTGAACTTTATGACTGAATGAGTTAAAGACTGCTTTGTGAAACACCCCTCGAAAATTGCCAAGTTTTCTCATTAGCAGTTCAGTAGTTAGTTATTCAAACTAACGACTGCTTCATGAAACGGGCCCCTAGACAGGGCATTCCTTAACAGAAAGAATCACGAAACATCAAAAATCCATCAAAAAGTGATAAAAAATCTGCCCTCAGCCAACACCAGGAACAGACAGGGCATTGTATAACATCAACAACTCTAGAAGACATAAAAATCTTGGAAAGAGAGCCATGGGACCTTCACCGGAAAGTTCTTGAAGCGATTAACAACCGCTTACATGGGGCCGAGCTGAATCGGAATGATGGGACTGAGCTACCCAACCTCTACCTACCACGCCTAAGGGAGGGGCAGGCAAGGGGGGATCTGACCAAATAGCGTACCAGAGGGGATGATAGGTTGTCACATCTGTCACAACCTCATTCCCTGATGAAGTTCGACTGCAAGCAGACAAATTATTGGCTGATAAGATCAAACAAATATAAGTAGCTATTGACAAAAGAATCTTCACAAGTCTAGACATCACTTGTGTTCATATATAAACATATCTGTCAAGGTTAAAACATACACACAAGGGTTAGATATCTGGAGGTCCACGATATTGGGTAACAACAGTGGGTTATCATCTATGAAGTCTGACAAAATATTTCTGTGTGTTTGATTACAATGAGAGTGCTTTCATGTGATAGGGGATGGATGTCTTATTTTAACAAACAATTTTGTGTTTCCAAACATTGCTGTGTATTTTACGCTTTTTAATTCTAAGCCGAAAATTACAGCCAAACAGTACTTAAATTTGGGATACAGACACACCAGTATGTTTTGCTGCTGTACATTATGGAAAAGAAAACTCTCAGAATAGTATTGCCATGTATTTTGGTCATCTCAGGGATCATTTACAGCAGACACACTACAGAAATACAAAAATTTGTCCTACATTGCAATTTTTGATGGGTGACGAAAATGGGTTATGGTGCATTACCAACATTTTTGTTTTCAACTTCACTACAAAGTATGATCTTCCATACATGTGAACTAAACAAACCGTTCAATTTCAGGATTTAAATACCTGGAATACATTCTGCTTTTCATAAAACACCAAGATGTAAGGAAATCCTGTCATCTGAGTGTGTTATGGTATGACAGCGAAACCACAGCTAGCCTGTAGTTTTGTTACCCATTTAGATTTGGCCCAATGACTAATGATATAGCGAAAATTTCCACTGATGACATAATGACCCGATCAAATAAATATTAAATGAGACTTACTAAATTAGCTATATCCAGTTCCCACTTTTTGGCATGTAATGCATGAGAGATGATTTCATATCATCATTGTTTAATTTAGGATCGCAGTGTGCTTTTCCAACTCTGAGAAGTCAAGTGTACTCTTCCCTGATTATTTAAATGTGTTTTATGTTACATTTACCAAATTCATGAATATAAAGCAAAATACCAAAAGTTTGCTCACAAGATCAGTGTCATGTTGAAATTTTGATGCCCTTGTCCCATTGTTGTTACCCATGCCAGTATCGTGGAAGTGCATATATATATATATATATATATATATATATATGTCAAAGGCCCGGACCAAATCTAGTCCCATGCATAAAAAGCCCAGACCCCATGTTTATTACGCCCTGGCTGGGCCTATCCTTTGGTGTCTTTGCTTTGTTCACAGTGTAATGGGCAAGTTAATTGACCAAGTTAATTGGCCAAGCTGCCAGTTTGTTTGTATGGCATGTGCAGGGGATGTTTTATATGAAGGCACATATTATGATACGGTACTTACAGGTGTAGCAAATGAGATACAGTTGTATTTCATTACCTGTGGTTTGTAAAATACATCTGAGGGTGATACTTTAAAGATATTTAATGTTTAAAGAAAAGACATGTAGATTGATTTAGTAACATTTACTAAAGAAATGTTAAATTAAAGGTGGGTTCATTTGCCACACCTGTAAGTATCATAATATGTGCCTTGATATAAGACATCCCCTGCACATGCCTTACAAACAAACTGGCAGCTTGGCCAATTAACTTGGTCAATTAACTTGCCCATTATGCTGTTAACAATGCAAAGACACCATAAAGAATGGGCCCAGCCAGGGCGTAATAAACATGGGGTCTGGGCTTTTTATGCATGGGAATAGATTTGATTCAGGCCTTTGACATATATATATATATATATATATATATATAAAGTGTATATCATTTATCATCATAAAAGATATTGTTCAGCATAGTAGGACATGCATGCCACAATTTCCAATAATCATGAGATTATTTCTGGCTTTAATTTTTAATCCAAATGTACTCTTGACCAAGTACACATTTTAAGGCTGGTTAGAAGCCTATCACAGCTGAGCTTTGTTTTTGTGAAGTTTAAACTGGTATAATTAATATTTCATGTACATAAATATAATTGTATGTATTGGGTCATCTGTATCATTACTTAATAAAGTCTTTTCTGCCAAGTTATGAACCATACCTACTATGTCTTGTGGGATTTTCTTGAATGTGTCAAGTAGTCTTTTTGTGTGTTGACATTTAGGGACTGTATAGTACTAACTTTAGGTCAAACTATCTCAGAGGGGCTTCTCGCTAAATTGTAATCGACTTAAATGGCTTAGATGTCTGTCACGCCCACTGAAGCTGATAGGGGGTAATTAACTATCGTCTAGCAGCTTTAGTAGGCGTGTCAGACGTCTAAGCTCCTTAAGCTGATAGAATGTAGCGAGTAACCCGTTAGAGATGGACTGATCCTGTTAGATAACCCCTATCAGCTTCAGGTGTGACAGACAACTAAATCGCCCAAGTTAATTGCAATTAACCGAGTATCCCCTTGGAGATAGTTTGATCCAAAGTTAGTATGATAGTCCCTGGGAATGGTCTCTATACTTATTACTCATTAGCCCTGGGGGGCAAACTTTCCCACCCTGAGAACTACCTCCCTTGCCCTGGCTTACTCCACTGCAGAATATTGCGCCCCTGTGTGGTGCAGGAGTAGCCATACAAAGACAATTGATGCAGCCCTAAACAACAGCATGAGGCTTATCATAGGATGTCTGAGATCAACACCAAAACCATATCTCCCGGTGCTAAACGGCATACTTCCCCCAGATATCAGACGGGATCAGCGCTGTCTCCAACTGGCCAACAGAGCACATGAGCCAGAACATCTATTGTTCCAGTGACTCCGTCAAGATGAGGAATTTACCAGGCTTTCCTCAAGGGCTCCACTGATTCCATACTTACGAAAGTTAGAGGAGAGCAAAAAAATGGCAGACTGCGTGATTTCATTCCTGAAGTGAGCACCTGACCATCTGGACATGAGCTGGATCGCCTATCATGGACTCGACTGAACCGCATCAGAACAGGTCATGGCCGTTTCCGTGCTAACTTGTTTGAATGGAGGCTCTGTCAGTCTCCAGCATGCGAGTGTGGTGCCCCCCTACAGACAGCCAACCACATCGTAGAGACTTGTCAGCTGCATCAGTGTCCAGGGTTGGACTCACTTAAGTCGTTAGACGAAAAAGCTAAAGACTGGCTTCAAAATGCCAATATAATCCTTTGACTTATGATTCCTGAGTGTACATTACTTGGATGAAACGGACATATGCATATATATATATATATATATATATATATATATATATATATATATAGTCATTAGCCAAGAAATTTACCTGTAAACCATAACATACTGACAGTCTTTAAAAACTTTGAGACCATATTTTTTGATATAATTAGTTTTTGAACCCAAATAACCAAGGCAGGGTGGACCCAGTGAAGGACAGCCAAGTTATACCTGGCCAGTTTCAGGACCGTATGGCCCCCAGCACCATGTCAGTGTACAACATTGGGAAATCCAAAATCTTTCTCCCAACCTTGGTCAAGATATGAATGAAGCCTATGAACAAAAGAGTGACCAATGGCGAGAACCACCATGGTCAACTGTGTTCAAAACTTAACTTAAATGTGATGAAAATAAAATCTTACTTGTAATAATGAATGATCCACTTCACGTATGAGTCTCCTAAAGCTTGGCTGGATACGCGAGTCCCACACACAAAGTCATAACAAAAGAAAAGCAGACACAAATGGTATGGAAAACAAACATTGTCATCGAGGTGCAAATTACTAATTTGTAAAGATGAATGTTCTGTTTCACGTAAGTCTCCTAAAACTTGGTTGGATCCGAGAGTCACACAAACAAAATTGTAACAAAAGAGGAGCAGGTAGTCACAAACTGAACAAAAATTTGTCAGTGAGACTCAAATTGGTATAATTAATCCTTAACACTATGCTTTCAGCAAAGAGCTAATAGCAAAGTAAGGAAGAGTATTAGCGTTTATTGTATACGTGCGATAGCACGTACCTAAAAGAGGGCCCCAGATTCAGTACTGCAGAATTTTGACAAAAGTGACGCTTCAAAGCTTCTGGGTCTCCCTGATTGGACAAAGAATTTTCAAGCAGCTTAATGCAGTGATCTCCAGATGCCATTCCCTGTTTACACTCATAACCTGGTAATACCAGGTGCCGTTACCCCAGCTAATGAAAGTTTGCAGTTAATTAAAACCTAAAACATTGTTTCTCTATGCCAAACTTCCCTTTTTTGCACAATTTTAGCAAGTAGGGTCATTGTTGGTACAGCTTGCCTTTGCACAATTTTGGTGACGTTTGCCCCATAACTTCCAAACCGTATCTTGTTTTACTCTAAATTTTGAATGGCTTAGCTTGGTTAAGAGGCAGGTTGCTTTAAAAAAATTGGCATGCTTGGTTAACATTTACAGTAATTATTCCGTTTTTTTTTTTTTTTTGCACAATTTTGGGGATATTCCCCCCATGACTTCCAAACCGAATTTTTGTTCTACTTAAAATGTACTGAGTCGCTTTGCTGTGTAAAGGGGCAAGTTTAGTTGTTTTTAATTTATTGTCCAATTGTTCATGGGTGTTGTATGAAAGAATAGACAGGACTCATAATTCATCAGGCATAAAATATTTTAAAGAATTTTATCACTGCAGTATGCCCTAGCATAAAAATAATATTAGATATAAAGATACAAGTTGCACTTGTTCCATCAGAAGGAATTACATGTACATGGATTCTTTAACACTATAAGAACACAGGCAAAATTTATGCTGGGGAAGATTTTAATGATATTATTGCAGAATATATATATATATACCACATTCTATATTATAAAAAGGGATCATGAGGTGGAGACTGAGGGTGGCTACCTTGAATTACTTGACTCAATGGAGCACAAATCATAAGATGAAGATTTGGGTCAAGAAATCGTAATACCTTCGCTCGAAGCAGATGGTGTCGCTGCTGGTACAGCTTGCCCATACTGTAAGAAGAAATATATATGTAATTCTTGGTTGATGAAACGTAGCCAAAATGCATGACAAAGAGAATCATTATGGTAAGTCACCGGTAAATGTGATATGACATAATGCCATGGCTGTTGAATTAATAAAACACCAGTTTCCTTGAGACATGTTATCCCTTAAGTTAAAGCTAAAAATTCTTAATAATAATAATAATAATAATACCCATAAAATTGATAATATTTTTAATAATATTGAATTAGCTTGACCCCATTAGAAAAACAATTTATACAGAGTTGAAGGGATAACAACTCTTCGTATGAGATCTATATTTTACAACCAATACAATGGCAGTTATTGCAATTATTTTGAAATTTGTGCTTGTCATAGGACCATGTGACCTCCATAGATGGCTATACTCCATAATAATCTCTTTAGAGATTATTACAAAAACACAAATTTTTTAGAAAAAAAACAGGGACCAACTTTGAATGTAGAAATGGATTTATTAACCATTGGTAAGTATGGGAAAATTGTTGTTTGCCCCAGGAAAATTCATCTTTTGGCCAAAATAAACAGTTGTTATCTCTTTAAGTTACCCAATGCAAGTTTCAAGTACAAATAAAGCTGGGAAGACGTGTTAATGTCTTCCTTTAGATCCAGAAATAGTTAATTTTAATACTTAGAGGAAGAAAAGTGCACTTCATAGTATAGTAGGAAGTAAACACCTGAATAAGTCAATTTTTCAAATATCTGACTGCAGTTACATGTACTTAGATGTGACTGTGCATTGTTTCAGGAAACACCATGCAGCAGGCAAGTGGGAGGACTTTAAATGAAGGGACTTTTCCTGGAGGCACTGAAAAAAGTTGAGAGTGACATGATACTTCAGAAGCCAGCCAGGGGCAGGGATACAGCAAGCAAACCTCAGCAAGTGAGATGATACTTCAGAAGTGACAAGTTGTTTAAAGCGTTCTGTAGGCGAAACGACCTTAAACCGTCCTGCAATTCTAGAATGGTGGTATTTAAGAAACTCTATAACATGAGTATATTAGAAGTTATGTTCGAGTTCAATGAATTTCTTCAGCATCTTAGAATATGCTCTAGTCTTGACCCACATCTGCTACACAATCTACTGTCTGTACTTGTAGAGAACAATCTAACTGCATGATCATGCAGAACAAAGGGTACTCAAGGAACACATGGATGGAGAACTGACCACCGAGGAGGAAGAAAATGTGACATACATGACTTGTTATGTGCAGTTTGCCTGTGTTAGCAGCAGGAGAAAGGAAGTGGGACACTATATCATTTAAATATACTGAATATACTGAAGTACGTCTTGGAATCAGGGCAGCAAACCTGGAAACAGCTTTTTCCTGGATTAAACAAGGTCCTCATTAGAGGCAGCTTGTTTGTTGTAAATTATAAAGATAACCAATTTCTTTAGACAGGATGATATTGTTGCTAGATCAGTGTTTAACAAAGATTTATGAGTGTCTTACCAGGGTGAGGCCATAGCTCACATTATATATATGATAAATTGATAGCATCCGAACTTGTGAAGAAGTGGTGGTGTGGGAGATCTTCCCAAACTGGATATGATAGCACTAGCTTCTACTTCTTCAAAGCTGTAATTAAGTACGTGACCCTTATAAGGGATGATGCTTTTGCTAGATGTTGGAAAAAAATTGCAGCTGATTAGCAAAAAAAGTGTATCATACAAAAGTAAAGAGAGCTTGAGAGCTACATTGAGATTGTAATGCATTTTGTTTGCAGTTGGGAGCAGCAGAAATGAAGTATATGATCTATTTTTATAATGCACCTTGAAATTGTACTGATGTTAGTTGATATTTGGAATTCATTTGTTTTTACTCCAAAACTGTGATGCTGCTTCTTGAAAACATATACAAGTAAACTAAAGTAGTGAAAAGAATACAAGATATTTTAATACTACAAATTCATATTGATATTATACATGTACAAATTTAAATAAGATTGGATTTGTGCATTTACTGTTTGTAAAAAAATAAAAAAAGTGAAATTTCCAATAAGTTGCACAACTGTCATTTGCTTCATTGACTTCATTCACCAGGCCAACAATGAAAAAAAATAAAAAAACAGAACATTTCTATTGAGTTCACCTCTGTACAAAAATTGCAACAATAGCAATATGCATTGCAACGAGAAATATAAATGCCAACATTTTATATTTTTGAGAGATTTTTATTGTTTTAAATCAGCACAAAGATAGATGCATTGTTGAATAATTCATCGTCATCATCATATCAACTGCAGTTGACCATCAATATCATTAATTAGGCGACAGGATAAATAGACTTCCATACACTACAGTCCTCTATGTGCTCCAAGCTAGTGTCCTCAAGGAGAACTTGGACGTAACTTTTGTGTGCCCAATAAGCCATGTGTGGGTACCCAGAGCAGAAATCTATTTGCTTCTTCTTTGTTTGACAATGTGTGACGACAGCCTTCAATCTGCAGTCTCCTATCTGAGTTCATTGTGCTTAAACTGCTCTAAAGTTTGGGTAGTGTTGGCTCTACAAGCCCTGCAATGCTTGACCAAATGCTGTTCCAGTTGATCTCTCACTCAAGATGAAACTGACATTGTAGATCTTAATGGTAATGATGAGTTTAACTGTCCTCAGTGTGATGATAATCCAAGAAACACAACTTCATCTGAGCTGAAATCAAAGATCATATCTGTTCATCAATAAATAATTTAAATTTATGCAGAGACATACAGTATTTACAACACAGACATAACACAGTGATCAAAATATATTATATTATAATAAACACATATACAGCAACAAAAAAGACATATATACACAATAATCAGTATAGAAATATCATTGTTGCACTGACCTGTTCTGAGGCTGCAACACTGTAGATCTTGATGGTGATGATGAGTTTAGCTGTCCTCAGTGTGATGATAATCCAAGAGATACACTTTCATCTGTGCTGAAATCAGAGTACATATGATCAATAAAGAAAATATGCAGACACATATAGTAGTTACAACACAGACAACCCAGCGGGCAAATTATGTTGTTTTAACGTTGAAACAACGTTGAACTATAACATTGATAGGATGTTAGATAAACGTTGGATTTGAAAGTTGGATCAACGTCAGATAACAACATTGTATCAACCCCAGTTGTTAGACAACATTCTTGCATGAAAAGACATCAAAATGACCTGAAATGTTTTTTTTGTACAAAACACAGGACTCAATTATAACGTACACTGTAAAAACATCCAAGTGCCTGCTTTGTTTGATTTTTTCAACGCATTTAGCTCCTAAGCATGTTTTGCACCCTTTTAGCCTAGATGTGTTTGCACTAGTAGGACATGTTTGATGGCTAAATATATGTAGGGTATATATGTATGGCCTTTAAGTTAGGATTTCCCAGGTTTAGTTATATATATATATATATATAAGAAAAAAATATATATATATATAACAAAGTCACAGTCACCTCAACCTGTCTATCTATGACAGGGTACCAAGAACTGTCAACTTTGATTTAACTTCACTCCATCACAATTACAGCAACTTATTCATCCTAGTGTTAGATGACCTTGCAAGGAAGTTTATTGGAATGTATTTCTAAATAACAAGTTAAGAAAATTCACTAATTCACTAAAGACACAAAACAACTGTCACTTATACTTTAAAACGCTTTTTTAAATTTTTTGATAAAGTTAGTTACAGTATTGATTAACAAAGTATCACATTTTCAATAATTAAAATTTTAAATTACAATCCATGTCTTGCATCATGACGACCAAACAACAACATTGAGTCAATAACCAAAATACATTATGACAGAGTTGGATCAACGTTGATTTTACGTTGAATTTAGGTAGATCAACGTTAATTCAATGTATCAACCTGTTTTCAACGTTGATCCAACGTCACTATGCCTGCTGGGAAAACACTGTGATCAAAATATATATTATTATATTACAATAAACACATAGGTGCAGCAACAAAACAGACACAGTGATAAAAATATACAGTCACATAGGGACCATTCCCACAAATATTTGGATCGATCTATCTCCCTTGGGATTCTCACTAAATTGCTATCAAACTAACCAGCTTAAACGCCTGTCACGCCTAGTAAAGCTGTTACAGCGTAATTATCTTTACCCCTAGCTAATTTGGTAGGTGTGACAGCCATTTAAGCCTCTTGAGCTGATAGCAATTTAGCGTGAACCCCTAGGGAATAAGGTCGATCCAGATCCCAGCAGGCAAATTTTGTTTTTTTAAGGTTGAAACAACGTTGAACCATAACGTTGAGTAAACATTGGATTTGAAAGTTGTGTCAACCTCAGATAACAATGTATCAACGTCAGAAACAATATTATATCAACCCTACCCAGCGGGAAATAAGCCTGGATGTGTTTAGCAGTTGGGCATGTTTGATGGCTAAATATATGTAGGGTAGAAATGTACGGCCTTTAAGTTAAAATTTCCAAGGTTTTGATAAACATATATAGTTCTTTTCTTATATATATATATATATATATAAAGGCCAGATTAAAATCCAGCAGGGCCCAGTTTTATAAAGGACGTTTAACACTAACCAGTGGATAAGCCTAACCAGTGGATAAATTCCCCTAACACCCATTAACTAAAAGATGGTTAAAATGTGTTTTATATACAGTCTTCTGACGGAAAACAGCCAATTAGTTAACTGGCCAGTGTTTAACTGGATTAAATAATTATTTAAAGGTCAGTTTACTAACAGATTATTTAGGTCTGGTTAGAGTTAAACACTGGTTAGTGCTAAACGTCCTTTATAAAACTGGGCCCAGGCTGGTGTAAAATCAACCATAGTCAAATTTTATTTTCAGATTTTAATTTGGCTTATTCAGGATCAAAATTCCAATTTGACTTAGGAAGATTTAAATCGGGTGACAAATGTAATCCTGACTATTTAATTGTTTATGACATATATATATATGTTTTTAATCTCATACCCAGGCGAGAGTCCTGCTTTTTTCCATTCACTTCTTATGATGTTGTCTTTCAGGTGCCCACTTCATTATAGTGGCCATGAGTACAAAAGATGGCGTGTATATAAAATGTATCAACCTGTTTTCAACGTTGAACCAATGCAACTATGCCTGCTGGGATGGATCAATCTAAGTATGGGAACCCAGTCTTACACTGTCACAACAGACAGCACACAGGCATCAGAATGTGTTAATGGAATTTTGTCTATGAATTGATTTCAAAGACTGTCAGATATTTCTGCTAAGCAACCCCCACCCCACCCCGAGTTCACGCGAACCTTTTCACTTTGAACATATATAAAAGTGAGTGGAAATAATTAATTGACCATTTTACAAAATGATACTATTCCAGGTACATATGCATATAGTGGTGGTGTTCACAAAGTGATTGAAGAGAACACCAGTTTTATGCAATATCATTATTGCACTGACCTGTCTTAAGGCAGCCAGGTTGTTGATCTTGATATCGATAAGGAATTTAACTCTCGATCCTCAGTGTGATAATAATAGCGACATGCATTCATCTCTACTGAAATAAGAGACATCTTCAAAAAATAATATTTGCAGATATATAATTATAACACAGACATAACACAGCGATCAGAATAGAAATATACGAGTTCACACACACAGGGACAAAACAGACACATACACAGTGATCAGAATAGAAATATACGAGTTCACACACACAGGGACAAAACAGACACATACACAGTGATCAGAATATCAGACACACACATATAACGTGACAAAATACAGTACACAGGCATCAAAAGGTATACATGAAATTTTGTCCATATAGCGATTTGAAAGACTGACAGATTTTTGTTCAGACCCCCAAGAGTTCACATTAACCCTTTTAATGTTGAACACATACATGTATATATGAAACTGAGTAGGATCTAACTGACCATTTTACAAAAGGATATTAATATTCCAGATACCTACTATACATTTAGTGGTGGCATTAAAAAGGGGACTAAAGAGAATCACCAGTATAGAAATATCATTGTTGCACTGACCTGTTCTGAGGCTGCAACACTGTAGATCTTGATGGTGATGATGAGTTTAGCTGTCCTTGGTGTGATAATCCAAGAGATACACCTACATCTGCACGGAAATCAAAGAACTATCATCAATTAAGAATATATACAGACACATACAGCAGTTTCAACACAGATATAACACAGTGATCAAAATATATATTATTATATTATAATAAACACATAAACAGCAGCAAAACAGACATACACAGTAATCAGAATATATANATATACGAGTTCACACACACAGGGAAAAAACAGACACATACACAGTGATCAGAATAGAAAATATACGAGTTCACACACACAGGGACAAAACAGACACATACACAGTGATCAGAATATCAGACACACACATATAACGTGACAAAATACAGTACACAGGCATCAAAAGGTATACATGAAATTTTGTCCATATAGCGATTTGAAAGACTGACAGATTTTTGTTCAGACCCCCAAGAGTTCACATTAACCCTTTTAATGTTGAACACATACATGTATATATGAAACTGAGTAGGATCTAACTGACCATTTTACAAAAGGATATTAATATTCCAGATACCTACTATACATTTAGTGGTGGCATTAAAAAGGGGACTAAAGAGAATCACCAGTATAGAAATATCATTGTTGCACTGACCTGTTCTGAGGCTGCAACACTGTAGATCTTGATGGTGATGATGAGTTTAGCTGTCCTTGGTGTGATAATCCAAGAGATACACCTACATCTGCACGGAAATCAAAGAACTATCATCAATTAAGAATATATACAGACACATACAGCAGTTTCAACACAGATATAACACAGTGATCAAAATATATATTATTATATTATAATAAACACATAAACAGCAGCAAAACAGACATACACAGTAATCAGAATATATATACAGATACATACAGTGTCCCAACAGACAGTGCACAGGCATAACAATGTAACAATGAAATTTTGTTTATATAAAGATTTGAAAGACTGACAGAGATTTTTGCTCAGCACCTCCTCCCCTCCTCCTTTCACCCATGCATGAGTTCACATTGACCCTTTTCACTTTCACATATCTGAAACTGAGTAGGATCTAAGACTTGGTTCCTATACCTCAATCGATCTAACAGGATTGATCCATCTCCAAGGGATTTTTTGCTAAATTAAATTGCTTTCACCTTAAGTGGCTTAGATGTCTGACATGCCTGCTCAATCTGCTAGACGATAGTTAATTACCCCCTATAGGGGTGGGTGTGACAGATGATCTAAGCCTCTTAAGGCCATTGCAATTTAGCAAGAACCCCCAATGAGATAATTCTATCTAAAGCTTACACATATGTACAGCGACAAAAACAGACATATTTATGCTCAACATAGCTACAGGCTACATACTGTATGACTGATGAGGATAAAGATAAATTAAGACAAGCTATTGGCTACAAAATAGACAAATGCAGTACGTGCTCTCTCAGCAATTTAATAGTAACAGCCAGAAGCAGAAGCAGTAAACCACTGACAAGACCTGTTTTAAGAAAATATAAAATGTATGACTCAAGACCAGAAAAAGTTAACAGTACAGAAAAGATATATGCATGACAAGCGCCACAGAAGTCCATTGGATGCCATCCAG